TGACACATAAGTTCACTACACGATCTACTCGGATGGCGGTTTATACACGCCGAGTACAGTCAATTTTGGTAGTGGCGTTAGTCGCTCGGCCGAGTAAATACAAACAGTTTCTATTCATTAGCTGGTTCATTTTACTGGCATGAGTACTAGTTCCTTGAGTTTACACGAGACAGTACTCGGTCGAGTTGACTCTCTCGGCAGAGTACTCGTCACGTGTAAACCAATGGCGTATTTGAGGGGAGGAAGCGATGGAGGCAATCGTCCCCCCCGAGAATTTTTAGACCAAGACAATTTTTATATAAATAATGGATATTTTATTAAGATACAAAAATTATGATTTATTTTATAGTATTACACCGATATTTGAAAACGTTTCAAATTTTACACTAATTTAAATTATGCAAAATGCTAAATTTATCATAACGTTTTAATTGTCAATAACGGTAAACGGAAAATTTTTTAAACGTTTAAATTTGTATAACGTATAAACGCTTAAATTGAATAACGTTTAAATTATTTATAGCGTTAAACGTTCAATTGCTTATAACGTTTATATGTCCCATAACGATAAATAATATATATTATTTTGATCGAAGACCCAATCCATACTTAGTGAAAAATTAGATAAAACACAAACGAAACTTTCAAAACACAGATAGGAGTTAAAAAAGAACTACACAAAAGACCATTCTAAGTGGATCCGGCATTAGATTAAAAAAAAAAAAAACCACAAATATTAAGGATTCACCTGATACAAATATTATCAAAAATGTTACTTGTAAATTTTGAGCCTGAATTAAAGAGAAAATTTGAGTCCCCCTCCAAGAAGTAAGTCTAAATACCCCCTGGTGTAAACAAGGCATTAATTATTACATCGAGTATTCGGCTGTCGAATAATAATTCGGTTACCTGGAACATCTCAAGTATTTACAGGACTGGACTTGGGATTTTTGCGCCCGTAGACACTTCTGAACACGCGTCTTCAATGCCAAGTAAAACATAGTCGAGAATGGTTAACAAGACCTCCAAAAATCTAGTTAAAAAAGTTTCGCTCTAAAAATTGTTTGTATTCTAGTTGTGCCTTTAGTCCTTAGTCCTTAGCCTGTAGTCCTCCAATTCATAACCTCACAATTTTTATTTTTTATTTATTTGCATGTAATGTAAACAAAAATAAAGTTCTTATAAATTATTTAAATTATTAATATGTGAGAAATTAAAATCAAATATTATACCAACTATTTATATAAGTTTGATGTATTCAAATTTGATGTGTCTTAGCTCATGGTTTTTTAGCAACAAAATCATCCGTTATTTCATCAAATAACAATTGCCGAGTTATTTCGTTTTCAATATAAATTATGGCTATTGAATTAATTCTATCTTGAAGCATAGTAGATCGTAAACATTTTTGCTGGACAATTAATAACAACCTTTGATATAAAAATACGCAACATAATTTCAATAGGTACTTGGGTAAATTTCTTCAGGGTTTTTCTTATACAAAAATACTGTATTACAAACAAGTTTTAAAATAAAAAAAAAGTGCAAAACTCCTGTCAGGTGAAATACACGGACTGCTGAATGATATTACCTACTGTATCAATATTTTAAGCTTGAATCCAATGTACTATTGCTCTCCAAAAAAACGACTTTGAGTAAAAGATGTCGGGAAGATCTAAAGATGATTGATGTAGTTAAACCAAAATGTTGACGTAAGTTAAAAATTAGGGTCAATGTTTTTCATTGATCAGTAAAAAATATGTATAATGAACTTTGTAATATATTTTCTACACCGTGTATAATCAAAATAATACTATTGATATTTTACGAAAAAAAAGTTTAGAAAACATTAAATTTTCAAATAAATCTTTAAATAGCTCAAAAATCTAAATTTAAGAATTAAATATACCTAAGAATACCATATTGTTTATATATATATATATGTTTTATTACTTCTGATTGATATTGATAAAGAAAAGTTCAAATTGTTTTGTGACAACGAATAGGACGTAAATCGACTCCGCCGAAAAAGTCTTTTTACCTGTAAGAAACCTATCGATTACGTTGACCTATATACATGTAAAATTACTATATGCACATTACATTATATATACTATATATAATATACATATATCATATCTAGCACGACGGTATAGTGGCACGAAGCTAACTAAGAAAAAAAACATTAACATTTTATAGAATAAATAAATAATAATAATATATATAATAATCAGTAACAACTGTAGATGGATTGAAATATAAATTTTAAGCTGATCAATTTTTTTTAATACATTTGAATGCGGTAGTGTATGTATTTGTGCTTTTGTCTGGCAATAAGAAATAGAATAATGGAACATAATATCCATTTTAAAAAACATGAACCGTAAATAGTTGATAGAAATATTTTGGGCAACTATAAAATGTACCATCTATAAATATTTTGTCACTAGAGCATAGCAATTTTAAATTAGAATTTGTAGAGTAGAATAAATTATTATTTACTGTGTCAGTATTTAGTAGAAAATCTGCTGGAAACAATATTATGTATTTACAAAATTCGAAAATGTTTTAATATTATAATACATATGTTATAATCTTATATACATATATAACCCTTCGGCGGAATCGATATATGAAAATGTTCGGCGCAATCAAGACTAGCATACATGTCTGACATATTTGACCGTTTAAATATTCTAAGTATGAGTCTGCAAGGATCGAACACAAACATATTTTATGCTAGTGATAAAGTTGGATTTATATATTTTTCAAGTATCCAAGAATGATCTTTCAGCATTCGAGACAATAAACAAATTTTGGAAAGACAACAAAATTCAGCCGAATTCAAAATAATTACAGACATTTCGGAACACCTATAATCACTAAAATTCAACGTTTCACAATATTTCCTTTAGGATAACTCAGAAATTAAATGGATCATAAGCCCTTTCGAAGATGATAATATTAAGAATATTTCAGGTGTTATTTTGGGAAAAAAAATCATTCATTGATCTTACTAGTGATTCTACCGTAAAAACCGCTTTCAAAACCAAAAATATTTCAAATTTTTGGCTGGAGGTGAAACAAGAATATACTGCGTTATCTACACAAGCTCTACAATTTATAATCCTTAATGCAGTGGTTCTCAACCGGAGTGACATGGTCGCAGTGTAGGGGTAACACGAAATCTCCACGGAAAAAGGAAAAATAAGAAAATAATTAATTTTAATAAAATCATATTATTACCACAACTGTCATGTAAATAACATACCTTTAAGTTTGTACCTTTATATTATTTAGATCCGATAAACACGTGCAGTATTATTATTAATACGAAATCGCTGCATTATCGATTATTTTATCGACTTAACCGGGGTTGTTAGTCAGTTATTTTGCAGTCACTAGATATGTAGTATTATTATAGTATATTATAGCTCTACAACTCTAAAAGACAATATGAGACTCAGTCTTTCCACCATCAACCCTCAACTTTGTAAAAACCACCAGGGCCCAATTTCTCATCAGTTTTTATACAAATCATTAATATTTTTCTTTTTTTTTTTTAATTTGCAAATTTAAACTTTAAAATGTCAATGCTTATTGAACCCTGCAACTCAATAAATTGTAGGTGTACTTATTATTTATCTGTGTACCGTATTTTTTTTTTTTGTTATTTCAAAAATTATTCTAAAATACACAGTTAAGATTATTTATTATTTTGATGTTAGGGTGACGCGGTGTTTGATTCTAGTAACTAAAGGTGACATGAATGAAAAACGGAGTATCACTGCAATAAGAATCACTGCCCTATTGTGTTAACATACTTGTGCGAAAATACATTTTCCCACTTAATGTATACGAATAATAAGTATCGAAATATATTGAACTTAGAAAATGATTTAAGACTGAAAGTTATCAATATGGAGCCCGAAATTGATGTCATACGTTCAAAACAATACCAAACGTCTCATTGAAGTAAATCATAATAATAATAATTGTATATATTTTATTTAACTTCATTATTTTTTTTGTGCATTAAATACTTATATTCTCATAAATATGTAGTGTAATAAAATAAAATTCTATACATATGCAATAGTTTATACATTTTAATAAGAAAAAAGAGTTATTAAGTAAGGTGGTACGTAAAAATTTTCAAATTGTGAAGATGGTACAAGAATATAAAAAGGTTGAGAACCGTTGCCATATGTATATGTATATGTATATGCATATCATATGTCTTGTACTAAATAACACAATTATATTAATTTATAACTTACAGTTATAGTTAAGTTATAAACAATTTAACAATCAGCGTACATTTAAAAAAAGTTTATAAATGTATAGAATTAAAAATTTAAAAAAACTGATATAATCATCAGAATATATTTTTAAAATTATTTTTACAGAATTAAGGTGTTCACCAAGTGCAAATAATTTGTATGTTATGTAAATATAACAAAAAAAAACAAACACTAGGAGTATTTGAGAGGAAAGTCTTTGATAATGAAACAAACGAATGGAGAAAATTGCATAATTGTGAACTCCAAATGCTGTTTTAGAGAACTGATATAGTTAAGGAAAACACAAAAAGAAGACTCATGAGGGATTGCCATGCCTGACGTAAGCAAGGATTTATAATAAGGCAAGTCATAAAGTAAGAGCCTATAGGGAAAATACCTTTAAGAAGATCCAGGTTGAGGTGGGAAAACTGGATGAAAAAAGACATAAAGACGATAGGCCCAGGAATAAGATGGAGAGAAGCTGCAGATGACAGGGACAGATGGCAAGATTTTTATTTAGCGGTAGGGTCTTAAAGGCTGAAACCAAAAAGAAGAGAGAGTTATATAAATATGTATTAATTATGTAATATAAACTATAAATTAATAAAAATAAAACTGTCTTACCAGGAAAATGTGATATATAAGTTAAGTAAATATAACTTTAAATTAAAAATAATATTTTAAAACTAAAAATACAAACATTTATAATTTACTACATAATGTTAATAATTATTTTTAATAACAAATACAAATTAGTATTTTATCATAGTCAACAAAGCTTTAGAATTAGAAAATACATTTTTTGACACTTTTTTAATTAATTTACGTTTTTTTGCATCTTCTAATAAGTCGCACCATACCCGTTCACCCTGAATACATATACATGAAAATTATAATCATGTATAAATACAAACATAATATTGACAATTTTGTTAGAACATTTCTTACTCACTTTTAAAGACTTAAAATTACCACATATAATTAAAGATTGTTTGGCACGCGTTAAAGCGACATTCAAACGACAAATATCATCTAAAAATCCAACTCCGTTAGTACGAACTACTGATATCAATAGAACATCACATTCACCACCTTGAAATGAATCTATTGTGTTAACGTTCAATGACATTTTCCTTTTGAAACATAAGTGTTAATAATTAAAAATAGAAGATAATTTTAAAATAAAATCTCTTACTTATTCCCTAACAATACATTAATTTTTTCTCTCTGTTTATGGTAAGGTGTTAATACAGCAATGTCTAATGATTTACATTCCGAATTCAGTAAAATCTCTACTAAACTCACAATCATATTAGCTTCCCCTAAGTTTATTTCACTAAAATAGTTGAATGTATTACAATTTATTAAAAAAATAAATAAACAGAATAAATACCCTGAACAATCTTGTTGACTTTCATGTTCTAATATTAAATATGGCTGAAATGGTAGATTTTTTCTCTTCTTGACAGATGGAGCAGTTTTAATAAGACTTTTATAAAAATAAACTGATGGAAATTGACAAATTTCATGATGCATTCGATATTGTACATCCAAAATTTTAATTGGCAAACTTTTTTGTGTATAGCGCTTATGTTCAAACCATGTTTTAAGCCGTTTAAACAAGGAAATACCTAGCCCATTATCTTTAGCCACCTAAAACAAAATAAAGACATATTTATAATTAAGACTAAATTAAAATAATAAGGATATTAATAATGGTTCAAGATTTAATAAGATTTATAAAAAAAAATAATTTATTATTTTTTCAAACTTATTAAAAAATTTAAAGCAAAAAAATATTTATTTTTGTTTACTAAAATATATTTTTAGATATGCAACTTACTTTACTCTTTATTAATGGTTGTAGCTGTTTATCATCTCCAACTAAAATTAATTTATCAATACCAAGTAATATTGGAACACAATTAAGAGGTTCAATACTTTGCCCAGCTTCATCAACTATGCAAGCAGTAAAATGACAACTACTCATTGTTCTATAATAAAAGTCAAATAGTTTATAATATTCACTTATCCAAACAAGAATACTAAAAATTATTATATTTATAACATTTTGTATACTTAATAGCTGAAGGCATAAAGGAATTTTCCATGGTTTTCGAAAAACAAGAGTTTAGAGTAGTTAAAACAACATCAGTATTTTTAAGTATGTATTCTTCAAGATCTCTCTTATTGGTAAATATTGACAAAGTATTTGATTGGCCTGGTTGCTAATTTAAAATAATACCTATTAAATAATTAAAAAAATACCATAAACATCACATTTTTTTTAACTCACATCAGGTTCATTTAAAGGATTGTTCATTCTATATTTTACTAAATTGTCCAGCATTACATCAGCAATAGGAGAATGTGGGTCATATTTTTGTCCACTGCCTACTCTAACAATATTAAATTGTAATTCATCTAAATCAAACAAGCCACATTTTTACCATATAAATAATCTATAAAAAAAAAAGTAAAAATAAAAAACTTACTTTTTATGTCTTTTTTAATTTCTATGATTCGTTTTACGATAGCATCAACAGCTTCATTAGAAGGAGCACATATAAGAAGCTTAGGTCTATTATTGGTTTTTGCATGTTTGGACATAAAAGTTAATATAATATTACAGATTACATTTGTTTTGCCAGTGCCTGGAGGTCCAATAATCAAACCTACATTAGGTTCTTTTGCTGAGCAAATTGTAATAGCCATTTTTACTGCTTCCTTTTGACTATTGTTTAATGTTAAACTCTAAATATATAAAAAAAATTTAAAATACTCTAATTATATGTAATCCTAAATTATTTACATTTATATTAAAACTTTTTAAAACAGATTTTGAATAATCAAGAGTGTTGTTATGAATTTGTGGAGTAATAAGTGCTTTGCTCAATGAAGATGATGTCACATTATTTATAGCTTGAAATAATCGTAATTCTGAGTGTAAATAAAAAATATCCTATAAAATAAATGATACAGTTAATGTGTATATAAACAAATCTATACTTAATATAATATGAATACATTAAATTAATACAACAATGATTATTTTTATTGTTATATTGATGTGCCATAATAGTTTATTATATAATGAACATCTATGAATATTTTTAAGCCACTATTGAATATATTTATTTAAATGTCATACAATTACAAAAGAATTTAGGTTAAAGAAGATAAAATAAAAAGTTATTTTTTATATTTTATTTACCATTAAATGAATAGTTGTTCCATTTGGAATATTTTCAGTCTTTCTAGTTACAATAAGTTCAATATACAACTGGGTGCTTAAATGGTAACCTAGGACATTAAAATTATAGAATACTTAGAAAAATATTTAAAGATATAATACATTTACCTATTTTTTTTGCTACATTTACATAAGCAAAAAATATATTTCTTGACTTGGTAGGTCTTTTCACTCTAACAGCATCTGTTTCAAAGCATTTTGATTGTATTATAACAATACACAAATAACCTTTAAGTGAAAATCTTGGTCTTGTTAATGTCTCTTGATTCTTTTTATTTGTTTCTAAAGGAATTATATTATTTTAAATATTATAAATATTAAATTATACTAAAATATTTTGATTTAAAATAATTTTTACATATGAAACATAACTCTAAGCTTTAGACATGTTTTGCAAAGCAAATATTTAAATTTCAATGTAAATTATTAATATAAAAAGTTTGGCTTTTAATTGACAGTTATACAATTTAGCCATTTAATAAATAAATAAATAATGGCTTAGCCGGGATTATTATTATATTTGTAAAGTACTATAATAATATCTGAAGCTAAATTTTTATTTATTTATTTACTAGCTGATCTGACAAATGTTATTCTACCATATAAATTATCAAATAAATCGACCGTAAGTATAAATTAAAAGTGAAATAATATATAAATTAAAAGTAAAATAATATTAAATTTGATACTGAAAATATGATGTTATGTGTTGTAGTTCTGTTCTAGGAATGTTTCAAGTCAGATTTCAGATGTCACTGTATTTTCCGGTTACATCAAGTACAATGATAGTAAAGACAATCGTTGAGAATAGATTCCATTTTAAAATTGCTATCTCATTGGTGAAAAAAATGCACCGTCCATTTTCAAGATGGACGGCTAAATATATAACTACTGTATAATTTGTTTATTTATTTATATATTAACCAGCTGACCCGGCAAACTTCGTACCACTTAATAGTCAATTCTATAATTTTTTATTTTTTTTTAATACTAATTCTGCTATTTGGAACACCAGGTCAGCTAGTAAGATAAAAAAAAAAAAAAAGTTAATCAGTCAACAATTACAATATGTCAAAAAATAAAAATTATAAAACACTAGTGATGGGTCAAATTCTGATTTTTAAATCAAACCGAACTTGAACCAAACTTTAAATTATTTTTTCGAACTCAAACTGAACCGAACCTTCATATTTTCTACTAAACCGAACTGAACCTATTATGATTTTAAGTCGAACTCAAACTCAATACATATCATGTACATTGTACCTACCTACAAATTAAATCAACAATAATTATTAATTACTATTGTATTTTAAGTTTTCGTATTACCTATTCTACATTTTAACTTTTAAGTCTAAGTAATTATATTATTAACAATACATTTAAATTTTAGATGATTTCTTATTATAATTATTATTTTTCAAAACCAATATTGTGCTCTCTTGTGTTGTCTTGTAGCTTAAAAAATATTCATTGAGTATTGAGTATTAAGTGTAACATGACAATACAATCAGTATATTTTAATAATATATAAAAAATATAGTAATAATAACCAGTTGCGTAATTGTGGGGAGCAAGGGGGGCAAGTGCCCCCTCTGACAATTTTTTGAGAGATAAAGGTATAATTCCCCCCCCCCCCCAGATAATCCAACAGTACAAATAGCACCTTTTATTAATAAACTCTTATGGATATTATTTAACAATATTGGTACCTAGTGCATGCTACCTATCTAATTTATGTTTATCTAAACCATAAAATGAGTTAAAAGACTCATGTAAAATCAAAAAAAAATTAGATATAGTGTATAAAATACATACAATAAATATATGTTTTAACTGGTGAGGGGAGGGATGACAGGGTTTTGGTAATAATAAATATATAATATTGCCCCCCCTAGGTTTCTTCTCAGTTACGCCACTGATAATAACTATAATTCACAAATACATAATGATTAGTAGAATTTATAATGTAAGACGTAAGTTGTAAACATGTTTTTATTAACAGCATAGTCGCAGTATCGGAATATTACCATGGATTTACCTAATGCTCGAATCGGGGGGTACGCAGGGGGACGGAGCTCCTCTACTATTTTTTTTTTTTTTTGCTTACCCCAACTATATTTTTTCACCGGAACGGGGGGACGCCACGTTCATCCTAATTGATGTCCAAAATAATATTTATGTGAATTTCAATTTACGTCAATTGGAAAATTAATTTTACGATTTATAATATCAAAACTAATTTTATAATTAAAGATTATATGGTGATTATGATAAGGGACAACGTTGTCATTGCTGGAAAAATATAAACAGTGATGTCTGTGAATTTGGTGTATTATACTTTATACACTGTACGATTTTTTATTAATATTGGCGATCAACGATATTGTCATTTCGGAAAAAAATAAATGCCTTCACCACGACCTTAGACTAATCTTCTAAGGCCGTTACCCGCACTAAAGAGTAAAAATAGATAAAAACAAAAACCAAATAAATGATTATATCAATCGATTCATGAGACTGCCTGATCGCCTACAATTACCTATGTTAGTTATTATTTTATTTTTATTTTCTATTGCAACATATAGGATGTTGTTATTGCTATCAAAATATATTTAAGGTTGGTGGAGGGGGAAGAGGGGGGAACCCCCCATGGGTCTGTGTCAAATAATTGCGCACGTGGAACGCAGTTTTCAAATCGTTGGACTGAGCTCCTCTACTTAATTTTTCCCAATTTGAGCACTAGATTTACCTAAAATAGATTTTGACCTCTGTAATAAAGCCTGATTCACACCTTTCCGGCACGGCCCAGTACCGGACTGAAACGTAAAGGTATATTATCATTCATGTGTTAGAATTTTGTAATTTATTTTAAATTGTTTTAGTAGGTGTTGATATCTGGTAATAAGCACTGGCTAAAACTGCCTCGGGCGCCAAAATTTAGTGGTAGGAAATGTGCTCACTTGTGAATTATTGAACTTTTAAAATTATTTTGGAATTATTACTTTTTTTTGTTTTTAATAACAGTATTATAAATTAATATCAATGTATTTATAGCAATATAGCTATCAGTGATCCGGAATATTATTAATATACCTACCTAATATTAGTTCCCAAATTTGTTGTGATAATATCAATAAACATAGGTTATTTATAATAATAAGGCGTATTATGTTATCGCGTGTGGCATACGGTGGTGTGCCTACTACATAAATATAGCATTGATTTTAGAATATCTAAAAGTTCATGAGGATCTATCTCCTCATATATTTTCCGTGGGTAGGCCCCTTAGAGGGGTGCCAATTTTTTTTTTTTGCGCCAGGTCGCAAAATGTCTAAATACGGTACTGGGTGGATGTTTAACATGCGACTGGAAAAATAACATTATTATTATAATAGCATTATTATTATAAATAATGCATAACGTACCCTTTACAGATTATCACTTTCTATCGCCAATAGTCTAATTATTTCTAAATAATCATTATCAATTTTTATTTTTCAAAAATAATTTTTGAAAAATTGTACAAATATTTGGTTTTCGAACTATCGTGACCAGTAAGTCTAGTTCGACAAATATTTTCAAGTTCGATTTTCGAACAGTAAAAAATGCTTGATAGTTTGGTTCGATTTTTTTTCATGTCGAGTTCGAATTTTGAACAGTTCGACCCATCACTATAAAACACTTAAAATTCTTTTAATAGTCACTAAAAAATCACAATAAAAATTACAATTACAGATTTCTTATTATGATACCTACTTATTATATTTTATTTTATTTTTACTTATTCTAAATTAAGTTTCAACTTTATTGTAGTACTTTATGGTACACGATATTTTTTGTTTGATTCCCTGGCGCGTAAACAAACAGAGCAGATGGGTTTTCAATACGGGAACAGGCAACATACAATTGACCATGAGAGAAACATGGATTTTATAGATTAATACTGCAAACACTTAATGACTGTTCCTGGGATTTGTTTATAGTCATGGCGAAAGCAAGACGTATTGGAAACTGTAGTTGTTTAAACTCGAATGGTACGTCAGTCGGAATCATTAGAATGCGGGGTATCAAAACGTCTTGAATTTTGAAATTTAATTAATTTACATCAGTGTTTTTGGCAGCTAGTATAGCTCGTTTGCTCAACAAATCATGGAATAAGTAATTTTGAGCAACGTTTGGAAACACTTTTTGAATGAGTTTAGCTTTTGATTGCGTTAACTGGAAAAAACTCTCAGGAAAGGTGATGTAGCCAGTCAGCACATCTATAGGAAATTAACCATTACCAATATCAACGAGTTGTTTAGAGAATATGTTTCCAGATTGATCATTTTGCAACATGATATGTTTCCACAAATTGGAGGATATTAAACATGCATTCAGTTCATCAGCTTACGTTTAACGTGGAACCACTGGCAATGTTTGGTGAAAATCTCCTGATAATAAAATCATTGCGCCACTAAATTGGTTGTTCCGTAAATCTTTTAACGTTCTATCAAAAGCCTCTAAAAATGTTTTATGCGCCATCGTGCATTCATCCCACACTATTAGTTTACATCACTGCAAAACCTTTGCCATTGCCAAATGACGGTCATCCCCGATTGACATAATAACTTGTTTGACATTTTCAACCACATATCCTCAATGGAAATCAATGCTTGATTGTAAATTACTTCACTTATTTGTAAATTCAGTTCCCTGATCTATTGCGTACATTAAATAAAATATCGTCACGCATATTATCTTTGTATTTTATCCACAAATAAATTGGTTTTGATGGGAAGCATGTATATATAATAATGGAAAACAATTTTTATATTTGATGAGCTTGTGATGAAATTACAGCACCATTGAGAGTTTGATCCCAATGTACATCATTTTCTAATAGTTGCAAACGATAACTGGCTTCTCTGTAAGATCCACACAATTCACCATCAATTGTTCGTAAATGTTGGAATGATGTTGAGCCATGCATATTGACTAATAGCAGCTGTAAATAAAAACATTCATCATTGCTTGGATGAACGGAATGAATTCGACCTATTGCATCGGTTGAATATATACCTGGATAACCTGGAACTGGTTTTCCTTGTTTCCTTCGCATACATTTATTTGTTGTTTGATTACAAGTATAATATTTTGGCATTTTAGAATATAGCAGTGTTTGTGAGAAATTATCATTTTGGCACGTCTCGAAAAAAATGGTAAAGGTAGTTGATGGTGGTTGGTGAGCTCTCTGTACTGAATTCTGAGCTGTGAAATACACTCTCTACTCGTTTTCCAAGTGCATGGCTAAGTGAACAACTGTGGGGTATCTTTCATGAATTGGAAAAGAAAAAATTCGCCAAAATGCTTCATTACTGGTAACATAGCGGCCCATTTGGTATTAGGTTATTTCATCATTTGAATTCTTTGCACCAAATCCAATCACAGCCATATCACTTCTTTTGGTTATATATGTACATATGTACTTGATAGATTTTACTGAATGGCAAGATTCAAAATTGATGTGTGCTTTGAAAGTTTTTGATAAAATCGGTGAATATGGAAAAATACAGCGATTATCTATTTCAATATCTTGTTAATTTATTTTGAAAATTTTTGATCTTTCATTGTCTGCTAGTAATCATCGATGATAGAGTAGATAACCATAATTTCTAGTAATTGTTTCCGGTATTAATGTCCGTGTATAGCGCTTTGAATATTTACCATCTATCATACACGGTGCATTTTGATTTTGTATTTCGCATGGACCATGTATCATGTTTTTGATAACTATCTCATGCAAGCCAGGATCTACTTGTTAATTAAGGATTTCAGCTGATATGACTTCATCAACTTCATTTAGTCTAATTTTTACAACCAACCTAATCAAAATATTTGCATGTGGCAATCCACGTTTCTGCCACTCTACAAAATACATCCAGTAGCGTGTCTCACCAAACTCACAATACTTAGCAATCAAATCCATTTTATATGTCAATAGTTTTAATTTACTTTTAATTGATTTTTAATTTTACTTTTAATTTAATTGAATTTTTTTTAACGAACAGCAATTAATTTATATATATATAGATTTACAAGTATTAACAATTTAATCATTTTTATTTTTTATTATTTAGTAGTTTGGCGTTGGGAAAGTAACATCCCCATCGCCCAGTTTCTGTTACCATAACCAGGAACAGAAACTGCAATAGTCATCCCCTGGTCTTAATTGATTGAGGATTCAGGATTCAGTTGGGGGTTGAGCGTAGAACTAACAACCCTACCTCGTAAAAAACATATTGTGGTAAATCAAAAAACCAAGCCTTGAGACAATCTCAATGAAAATCAAAACGGAAAAAGGAAAACAAGAAATTAAGGATCGGAACATGGAATATCAGAACTTTATTTAAGCCAGGTGCTTTAAGAATACTAATTGATGAAGTGAACAAGTTTAGGCTATCAATAGTAGCATTACAAGAAGTGAGATGGCCATGTAACGGCAATATTAAGTCCGGAAATTATACGATCTTCTACAGCGGAACAGAAAATAACAGACATGAAAATTATGTCAGTTTTCTAATCAACGATTCAATACTACCTAATGCGAAAAAATGTACAGCAATCAACGAGAAATTATGCACAATTCAAATAAAAGGAAAAATTTGTGATATCGCATTACTAAATTGCTATGCGCTTACGGAAGACAAAAATAATGATGCAAAAAGCGAATTCCACAAAAGCCTAGAGAACGCATATAAATCGTTACCTGGCAACACAGTGAAGATCATAGGGGGAGATCTTAATGCACAGATGGGGCGTGAGTCCAACTATATACCGAGTATTAGAAAAGAAAGCCTACATATAGCGTCCAATGACAATGGCATACGAGTGATAAATTTTGCAGTATCTAAACACCTTGTGGTAAGTAGTACTTTTTTTCCTAAAAAGAATATCCACAAACAAACATGGGTATTTCCAAACACAATAAATAAGAGCCAAATCAATTACATAATAATAGAAAAGCGGCATAAATCTTGTATCATTAACCTAAGTAGCTATAAGGAAGCGGATGGAGACACGGACCACTACTTTTTAGTTATAGGTTTTTCCGAAAAACTATCAGTTATTTGGGAAAAAAAAACAACAGAAAAGGAGTTAAAAATGTTCAACTGGATTAAAGCTACTGGCCTAAAATAATTAAATAGGTATCAGGACAAAATCTATAGTGAGTTAAGTAAATCACCAAAAGTTGAAGTTGGATCGACTTGGGAAAAAATAAAAGGAACAGTTACAGAAGCAGCAAGTATCCTTCAAGAAGAAGGCCCAAAACTCAAAAAACATTGGTTTGATAAAAGCCAGGACGCAAAAAAACTCGAAATATATGTAGATTATAAATGTTACATAATGAAACGGAGGAAAATATACAAGCATTTAAAAAATCGAAAAACCTAGCCAACAGTGTAATGAGTCGCCAAAAGAGATTAGCAGAAAACAAAGCGATTGAGGATATTGAAAACTACAAAATGAATCTCAGACTGTTCTTTAAGCAATGTAAATCGGTCAAAGAAGGATATTAAGTGCAAAACTGCACCATGTTTGATGATAATGGAAACCTAATCAATGAAGCACAAGCCATAACTGATAGTTTTAAAAAACACTTTAAAAAATTACTGGACGACACAAGAGTGTGAACTGGAATGATATGCATGAACAAATAATATACGACACAGTGCAACCAGAGATATTTGAGCCAAGTCTTGACGAAATAAAATAATTATCAACTCCTTGAAAAACAACAAATCACTAGGGGAAAACAATATGAATTCGGAACTTCTTAAATTGGCAGGATCATACTTAGCAACACAGATACAAAAATTAATTGGAAGCATATGGGTTAACGAGCAAATACCTAAAGACTCGAACACAGTGATCATCTGTCCAATCTTCAAAAAGGGAAACAAATCTTAAGTTGAAAATTACCGAGGTATCTCACTATTGCAAAGGTGGGTAAGTTAATGAAAATAATTATCTCGAGTTAAGTTAAGTTACGAGAACATAAGATCAATAAGTTAAAAATTAACAGTTCACAATTTATAAATTTAACTCAATAAGTTATAAGTTAATAAGAAAAAAATATTAACTTAACTCAGTTTAAAAAGTTCTATTTTTTTAATTAGTAAGTAGATCACATAAAAAGTGACTTCGTTCTTCAAAAAGATTTATTCCCTAAATTATAATAAATAATTCTATTGAATTTTTTGTCATAATATACAGCAGTGGTACTGAAGTGTTTGAAAAATACTATGACATTGTACAATGTATGTCAAGGGACCACTCATTACTATATTTATTTATCTTTATAGTTAAAATTCTTTATACATAACATTCTGTATCCAGAACCCAATACCCAAAGATGGGCCCCCAACCTACAAAGTCTTATATGATATCTAATTTACAGTGTATACCACCATTTTACTTTAAATGATTATTTAATTTTTGTATAAATATTTACGTATAAATGAAAAATTTAAAAAAATTTTAACTTGATAGATCCTTTTTAAATCAACTATAAAAAGCTAAGTTATTTCAACTGCCAGTTAATCTAGTTATGTTAAAAAGTTTAAAAAAATTAACTTTTTAACTAGTTAATGACCATCTTTAACTATTGGACACAAGTTACAAGGTGCTATCCCTTGCAGCGCTAAAACGATTAGAAATATACTTAACCTCCCTCCCCTTGCAAAATCCTGGCTACACCACTGCTACTTATACAGTTATAAGTAAACGTTACTCATAAGTTAATATACCTTAGTTATTTTAATTTTATTTTGTTAAAATATAATTTTTTTTTTTTCAATAATTTTATAAACTAAAAAATGTACTTACCTATACATTTCAAACACCATAATGGCCCACTTATAGATTGTAAAACTTTTACTGATTTGGAAAATTCTTTATTGACAGATTGAATATCAAATGTATGAAGTGGTGTATCTCTAAAAACATACAAATATGTATTTATAAAATATTTTAAACATAACACATTTATTTAAAAATGTATACAAGAAATACATTATTTACAAAATTATCTATATATATAGATATTGAATTATATTTTATAATTTTAAAAAACTAAAAACATATTTCAGTTATAAGATAAATAATATTAAAATGTATTTAATTTTTGCTTCTTCCAATAAAATACTAAATACCTTAAATACCTATTAATTTAAACAATTATTCACTAATAACAAAAATTAATAAATATAGAGTATTGAATTGAAAATTTATTATATTAAAATGAAGACTATATGGTAAAAGCAATTATAAAATTAATAATAAATAAAATAAATATTGATAAAATGAAAATAAAAATGGTGGCCGCAAGCAAAATAATTAATAAAAACAATAACAAAAAACAAAAACAATTGAAATTAAAGTTGCAAAATTATGAATGCTAGAATTCTTTGTTTTATTCATAAACAACCCCTAACGATACATGAAAATCCCTGCAACTGGTAAAGGATATTATTAGAATTATTAAAAATAAATATAAATAAATAAAAGAAATTGAACACAACATAGGTTGATGATTATGGAGACATTGTGCAGTGGAAAGAAGAAAAATATAATAAGTAAAAAGAGGAAAACCTAAAAGAAATTAAAAATTTGGTAATGCAAATTAATAGGAAACAAAGAAAAGGACTTTATAAAGTAAAAGAAAAAGCTGTAGGAAATGTTGAGGGAAATATAAATGAGGTTTGGAAAAGAATGGCAACTTGTATTAAGAATATAGCAAAAGGTTGTTGATGAAACCAAGTAGTATGCTAGAAAACAAGAAAATATGATGGTAGAATGAAGAGATTCAAAGAGTAGTAGCAAATAAGAAAAAACAATTTAAGTTATGGCAGAAAAGCAGGAAGAAAGAAGATTGGATAGAGTATACAAATGTATGGTATTGAGGTAGGTTTTAGAAAGTCATATTTTAGAATATAATATTTTAGAAATACTGTGTTTTAAAAAATAAAACTTTTAGAATTTCAACTTTTAGAAATATTTTTATTTTTTATGCTGTTTACTCGCATATAAAATGTTTTCTAATAATTCTTTTATATTAAAAAATAAATATAATAATTGTTAATATTAAGATTATTAGCAATAGCTCTCATAAATTCATCTAAATTATAATTAGAATCATCAACTATTCATTTAAATATTTGCAATAAGTCATTATTCCGTGTTTCATTGTACTTTCTTCTTTTAAATACTTTATTTGAAATCAACGATTCGATTGTTGCTTCAATTTCATGTTGTTCTTTTTGAATTTTGGAGATAAATGAATGTATAACAGGATGAGTTGATAATAAACGATGGATTTTGTTGTGCCAACCTTTAGCTGAATTGGATGTTCTTGGCATTTTGTAGACAGTTCAACTATGTGCTGACCACATATCAATTGGAAAACATGGTTCGTAACGCGTTGCTTCTTTTTTTCTAAACCTCATTCTAATTTTTCAACCCCGTAGTTTTCTTCGAAATATGTACTAGATCAATTTCATCGTCATCAAATTCAGATTTCAAAATACCCCACGCTTCCTTGACTTTCTTCGGGGACAAAAATGCTAAACTTACAATTTTACGGGCATCTCCAATAATAAACTATTTTTCCATCAATTTTACGATTATAAATTTTATTTAAAACGTATAAAAACCCATTTACATCTAACATAGGTATCATGTTTTTGATGAGTCGATTTCATCAATGTCAATGTAATATTAAAAATTGTATTTTGGTAAACAATTTATAATAATTTTATGTTACACTACATAAGTATTGGGTATGATGTACGGCACTAGACTAAAGTGAACTACTTTTTGATAATTTTCGTATTTTCGATCAGTTATAAAATAATTCCATATTATATCAATTTAGAACTCTATTGTAATTCTACGATAATAATTGATAATATCTATAAAATAAAATCTTGACAATGATTATTGAGCAACAAAGTATTATAATTATAAATATTATGTATGTTTGATATTTCCCGTCTTCCCGATCAAACATAAACTAATTACAGATTTAGAAATGTATCATAATTTCTCCATTCAGTATCTTAAATTCTATTACAAAATAAAACAGTATTTTAATTAAAAACTCTGTATTTTGATATTTCTCCTTCCCGATCAAAAATATTTTATATTCTAAAACACTATTTAACATTTTTCTAAAACACAGATTTTCTAAAAGTGTCATATTCTAAAATACAGATTTTCTAAATATTGTCATTCTAAAACTTGATTTTCGAAAAAATGCACCCAAATCCAAATATATGTATAACAGTGAAGAGTGCGGTAAGCAAAGCGAAATAGGGGGACGGAGCTCCTCTACTAATTTATTTTTTTTTTTTTGCGTACCCCAACTATATTTTTTCACCGGAACGGAGGGAAGATAGAATAAGGAATGAATATGTGAGAAGTAGTGTTGGTGTAGCGTTGATAGTGACATGATGAGAGAAAATAGGCTGAGATGGTTTAGGCATGTGATGAGGTGAGAAGGAACAATGTACGTTGAATGAAGGTTTATGACAAGGATGGCCAATCCCAAATAATTAGGAGAAAGGGGAAGGTGAAGAAGAATAAAAGAAATTGGAAAGATTCGACGTTTAGCACATTGAAGTATTATTACATCAAGTTTTTATTGAATCACATATATTATAAAAAATAATGTTCATACTTTTTTAAGGATTTTTCAAAAATATATTTCTCCAAATTTGGATTTTTATTTAATATCATATTGTATGATTCGCTTATTTTTGACCAAATTTCATACAACAACAATGGTTTCATTGAAGAAGAATAATCTGATGGATTTACAAATTCTCCTTTCATTTTAATTATAGTTTTTACCAATGGTGGAGGTTTATCAACAAACTTTTCTTCCTGCAAATTACATAAACTTTGATTATTTGGAACAGTAAAAATTTTAATTGTATTAAACAATTTAAACTTACGCGTAACCATACAGCATTCCATTTACATATTATGCTAAGTGTGTCAAAATAAGCAAAATTAAGAAGCTCAATTTTTGATGACAAAGAACTTATATTATTTATAAAGTTTATTTTGGATGTTTTTTCTTGGTTATTAAATTTAACTTGATTTGCATTACTTAATGTAATATTTTTATCAATTTCTGTAGCTAATTGTAATTTTGATGTACTTGGTATACAATCATAACTACTATTCTGCAATCTAGATATTCTAGTTTTTTTCTTTAACTTTTCAGTTGTTGAGCATTTATTAATATAATCAACACCAGTCAACAACATAGTGTTTGATACTTTTTTCTCAGGTGATAAAATTGATAATTTATCTCTAGCTAATTTTTGTAGTTTCAATCTTCTTTCTTGAATAATTTGTTTATTTTGATCTGTAGTCATTTTTTCAGCTTTTTTTTTGTTATTTATAATTTTTTCTGATCTAGCTCTAGTTTTTATTACATTTTCATTTTCAACCAATACTTTAGTTTTCCCTCTTTTTATAATAGCTCTTGATGGAAGCGGTTCAAATACTTCAGGACATTTACTATTATAATCATCATCACTATCATTTGAGTTTATCAAAGTATTATTATTATTAGAATTTGATATCGGAGGGATAAAAATGATATCATCATCATCATCATCTTCACTTACTGTTTCATTTCTTTGGAAATGAATGGGCGATTCAAGAACATTTAACTTGCTTTCATCTTTGGTGGTAGATGGATATAATTCAGTAGCTGGTTTTGAATCAACATGCATTTTTTCTAATTCAATTTTAATATTAGGTAGTACAAATTCTAAACCGTTTTCTTCATCAGATGAATAAATGACAATTACACTATCTTCTTCATTTCGATATGTTCCTTGGCTTAATACATTATTTATATTTATTTGTTCTGTTTTTATTTTCAATGAAGTTTGTAAATTATTTTTATAATAAGAACAAGACGGTTCTGTATTATTTGATGAAACAATTAAAGATTTATCTGAAGTTAATATCTGATTACATGAATCTTTTACAGACTCTAAAACAGAACTAGTTGACATTGATTGTTTAGAATTTATTTGTTGAATATTAGTAGCAATATTAGGTGATATTGTCATTTTTGTTGATACGTCTTTATTTTCATTTGAAAATGGCTCTTTAAATACACTTGGTATATCTAGCGCTGAAATATTTTGATAAATTTGTAATGATTATAATTATAATATAAACTAATAAAAACATTTTATAATTACATTTTTAATTAAACTATAACTAAATAACATGGCAACAATTTTAAGAAAATGAAGGCTGAATTATAAAAACTATGATTCAACAACGAAATTTGGAATGAACATATTAAATAGTTCGACTTTTTTTATTATTTAATATATAGTATTTAAGTATTTCTCATATGCATCATGCACATTAAAAACAAAAGGTACAATAAATATTTGATCTAGATCTTTATTAACCTTATAACAAGATTTTCTCGATTTTTTATTAATGGAAGTAAATTTACCTAGTTTAGGAATTTTTACAGCTGTTGGTTCATCAAAATTGTCCACACTAAATACTTTCCTCTTGTGACTAATTTCATTATTCTAAATATAAAATATATATTAATATTATACAAATAATTTATAACAATTTTATTTTCAAAAATTATTATTAAATATTGCTTTAAAACTATATATATTTATAATTTGCATGTACATATCATTTACAAAGATAATAAACATGGCATTTTTTTACTTATAAAGATAATAAATGTATCTTACACACAAATTTGTAAAATTAGCAGAATAATCAATTTTATTGATATATTGAAGTACCACTCCTTCATCACCACTAGCCAAAATTATGATATCTAAATCATTTAGTTCATGTTCATCAAATTCCTTTAAATTTATATTGCCAACAATAGTTCCATTTGATGTCTACAAATAAAATACTTATTGTTAGTATAATTAGTAAAAACAATTAAAAAAAAAAAATGTAAAATAAATTAATAAATAAATAAATTCTATTAGATAAAAATAATTCTGAAACTTATATTTTAAAAACTCTTCTATCATAAGATATATTTAGTAACTAATACAAAAAACATAATAAATTTATAGTACACAAACTAAATTATATTTTTTTTAAATATTGTTAATCTTCTAAGTTATTTCTAAATGATAAACTATAAATTTTAAATTCTAGGTAATGTGGAAATAAATAGATAAATACTATGAATTTCTTTTTCTTTTTTGGATTCCAAAAGGTTAATGTAGTAACAATAATAATAAAATATCACTGGTAGGTTTAAAATTAAAAAGAAAGTATTTAATTTTTTTTTTTTTATATTTTTTTAAATATTTTCTAAAGAGAACAGAGGACATTAAAACTGAAAAACGAGAGATCTATACTTCATATATACCAGACCTGAGACAATGATACTAAATTAATAACTGGAATTACAAGGCTTATAGTTTTTGATGCTAGAGAAACAGCATGACCTCTTCTATTAAATTTTTTTAAAATTCATGGGATTCCTAAGTATAATTTGATAGAAATGTATCAAATGGTATTAAAGGACATATTAAGAATAAACCAATATCATCTATAATCTTAATTCCAATTTATAGTAGTAAAAATATGTCATGTATATAAACATGTTAAATTACATATAGTGTTATATATTATTTATGCTTAACATTTATATGTTCTTATTTATATAATGATTTATTTTCTATTTTTCATGATTTAATATACATTATAAAATTAATAACTAAATACATTGTATTAAATAGTTAACTCAGACCAATTGGCAACACACATGGTGAGCAGTCTGCTTTGCATTATTTAATAAAATTGTATTTACTAATAGCATTTTTTATTAAATAAATATAATTTCTTAAACAAATATTTTAAAATAAAACTGTAAAGCTTACTCCCAAATCTTTGACATATGCAATATCTATAGATCCTTTTTTTTCTACACGTAAATGACAGTGCGTTCTTGATACATTTAAATTTTTAAGTACAATATCATTATTTAATCCTCTTCCAATAGTATTCTACAAACAAAATAAATAATAGGTACAAATTAAAAATGTTTTTACATTATAATCTATAACTTTTAATAAGTAATATAGTTGTTACTGTAATTATTATGACAAAGACAAAATAAAAAATAAAAAGTAATACAATCAAGATAATAATTCATATTAACTGTAAATACATCTTTATTAAATTTATTAAAATAAAGTCAATAAAGTTAAAAATTCAATAATTTGAATCAAAATCAAAATTAGTAGATCAATTTAAAAACAAAAATTTTACAAATATTTTCAATGATTTTCAAGTATTTATTTTTATAAACTTTCAGATTTTTTATTTAAATTACGATAATTATTTGCATACATGATAATTTGAATTCAATATCATGAATATAATTACTTAACACAATTATGTTATATTATAAATTTCCTTACCACTCCATATTTAAGTGGATGTAAACTGTGAGAAACATCTTTAACATTTCGAAGGCATTTAAGCACACAACCAGATATACTATCTTTAACGGTTTCCATTACTGATTTTATACAGCAACCATATAGTCTAAAAAATAAAAATAAATATATATAAATTTGATAATAATAAATATATGTGTTAAAACATACTAAATACATATAATTACTACTTACACTTGCACACACGTCAAATATCAAAATACATCATAACTAGGTATAAATATAACACTTATTACTTTAATAAATACTAATAACAAATTGGCTAATTCGTTCACAGACAGTGAAGTGTTAATAAATTAAAATTTGACAAATAACAATGTAGTATCATAATATTACACAGCAATCATTGGATATTGAGTGTTGTTTTTAATCACAGATATCCATACAATATCTGTGTTTTTTCATTCGAAATTAGTGTTTGAATTCGTGATAATAAACCAAGCAAATATGCCGGAATGGCGGGCGATTCGGTGATAAAATCTTATCAACTGAATATTCAGCGGTTTCCAAAATGTGCTCCGCGAAGCCGTTTGTTTTACTATAAAAGATGTAATAACGTAACAATTATTGATTGTTATTTAATACAACGATTTATAATATACAACAATTTAGCGTGCATGGGGTGCCTTAGGCCAGCCATCCGGTTGATCGCAGTTTGCGGTTGGTTCAGCAGGTAGCCGTTTACCTGAATCGCAGTTGACGGTTGAATCTGCGAGTGTGTGCACGAGCATATTAATTTTATAAATGAATCATTTTAACAATGGAAGTTGAAGAAGTTATTACTGTTCTTTTACATCTATGATCGCTACATAAAAAAGAAAAAGAATAAAAAAATACTGGGTACATCCTTTCCTACAAACCTGAAATGAAACCAGGCATTTTGACATGTTTTTTGAAAATCTTAAAAAATATGAAGAAAATAATTGTTATTACAATATTATATTATTATGTTATTATGATATTGATAATCAGAGGTGGATAGGTAGTTTTTTTGTTACAGGGAAATATTTTAATGGGGCCACCAAAATGAAAAAAAATTGCTTTTAAAAAATGTATTATGTTTACTCAACCTAATTTAATTTAAATAATTTAACTATATAAAAAAAAAAATTTCCATAAAAAAATTAATGGTATCGAGGGGGCCACCAACACATAATATAGGGCGAGGACCCACAGGGAAAATCTCTTTTTCTCTATGGGCCTATCCACCCTGTTGGTAATTCTGCATACCTATAAATATTATTATTAAATATTGACCACTTATTCCCATTATCTTTGCTTTTTATTTCTATAGAAATAATCTGAGCACTTTGTGTTCCAAAGAGATTGCCGGTTCTGGATTTCGACAGTAAATTTTTCAGTATCAAATTCCATGGTAGTTCAAAATTTGAAATTTAAAAATCACCAGGTACGCCAATAACGGTTCACCCATAGATTAGTTCACCACAAACTAACCGCACCGGTCAATAGTGATGTTAAACTGTGAAAAATATTCATCACACTGTAAAATTGCTACTATGATAAAAAAAATCACAGTGAACAGTGATTGCTACTCAAACTGCTACTTTCTATTGTGTACGTATCTATGGCCTGTGTTGTAAATATAATTTTTTTCTGGGGGGAGGGGGGGATGTTTAAAAGTAAGTTTTTAAGTGTTCTTAGTATATCTTAAGACGAGGTCATATGTAATAATATTACATTTAAAATGGTATTATTATTATGTCCCGTTAAATTTTAATGAAAATTATTTTGTTACTCAATTTTTAATATATACTTAATCATAGTAAAATCAAAAATTTTACTATAATATGTAAATATTAATAAATAAAAATCAAATATCATTAAAAAAAATCTGTGGGAAGGGGGGGGGTGGAAACTACTATGTAGTAAACTACTTCCATCTCCCATTATTTTTAGTATCTACAGTCTTAACATCAATTTATCTACACTGTGACTATATAATGCATACAAGTGTATAGTACAATAGTAGCAAGTAGCAACTAGCAATGGTCGCATTTCACTATTTCATAAATCAGTGTCAAATATTTTTCACAGTTAGACAACTTAACAGATTTGTGATATCATCACAGTTTGATAAAATCACTATATATTATGTATGAGTAGCAGTCACTGCTATTGCTACTCATTGGATCACTGTGAAAAGTAGCAGTGACTGCTACTTTTTAACATTACTAGCGGTCAGCCGTCGAAGCAGCGGCAATGATCCAAGCGACCGGAACGGTTAGCGGGCAGCCGTAACGTAGTGCAAATACAATTTTTCGGGTGTACAGAATTTGCTTATAGTTTATCACTTGCCGTCAACTGAACGGCTTACCACATTACGGGCAGCCGCATAGTGCGTATGTACCCTAAATTGGTAACGAGTGTGATAAACTTGCGGACCCCGTCATTGGCGTAGAGAAAGTAGTGTCCCCATCGCCCAGTATACCAGTGGTAAATTGCAGTAACCATACCCTGGCCCAGGCGCGTACTGGCCCACCGGGATATCGGGAAAATTCTGGTAGGCCCTCTTAAAAATTATATGACCTGAGCCCCTTACCAAATAGGTACCTGTAGTTTCAGTTAAATTCAGTAATTTTATTGTTTTTAACAATTTTAATTGAATAATTGAAAGAGAAAATAACATAAAGGACAAATAATAAATTTCGTTCGTTATTTACTGATAATGCAATTTTTAGTATACTACTCGTATAACTACTAGCTTTGATCATATTTAACTATTTTATACTTATACATAATATAATTGATTATAAATATAATAGTATTTATAATCAATGATAATATGTATAAATGATGTATATTATGCATACGTTATATTCACCAAAAACGAATAATTTTTATTTAAAATTCTAGTGAATTATAATAAAGCGCCATGCAGGTACATGGTATACTCTGACTGTATTTGCTTATAATAAAGTTATTTATAAATTACTTGGATTACCTAATAATTATAACGATAATTTTGAATATCCTCAGGTAATATAATGTGTATAAGAAAAAAAAAGAAATTCATGTTTATTATACATAACAAATGTTATTTATGAGTTCAATATGTATTCTCTAAAGCAGGGAAGATAAACCTTTTTTGGTTCAAGTGCCAAAATTTTCCTCTTTAGGTTTTGAAAATCGTTCACGTGCCTAAAGAATATTATATTTTCCAAGAATAAAAATTACAGATTTATTATATTATTTTTATTAAATTTTAGTCATTCTTAGTGAAACACAACTATCAACTGTTTCATTGGTAAACATTTTTTTTCCTTTTCAATTAAATTAAATTAAATTTGTTATAGCGAATAAGCTTTCAAAAACTAAAGTTGACGAAAAATATGAAAGCATAAGGAATATTGTCATTTTTAAAACTTATATAATTTGTATATTTAAATTTCTTACAACCAACATTTTATAAAAATAGTATATATATATATATATATATATTTTTTTTGTGTACAATTTTTAATAATTTAAATTTTTTGTACGACCATTAAAATTTGGTCAGCGTGCCATAGGTTTGCCACCCCTGCTTTAGAATATGATGGATTATTTGAAGTTTACAAGTTTTTTTTAACAATTCCACTTACTCAAGTAACGTGTGAACGATTGTTTTCTAAACTTAAAATTATAAAAACACGTTTAAGAAGTTGTTTAATACGAGATAATTTGGAATCATTTTTTTTTTATGAACTGTAAAAGGGAGTTGTTGGCCAACTGACTTAATGTGTGAACAAAGTACCTACAACAATGTTAAGAATGTTGTATGTTTGGTTTTTAAACATTTTACTGAACTAATTATATATTATTTTTAAGAACATACTGTGGTGACGTAAACAACGCACAGCGAATCGTCCAAGTTGTTTGCAATATTGTCAGTTAGGCAACTGATACTTCAGTTGCCGAATACGCAGATGATAAAGTTATTTATTCCACTCACACTGACCCCACAACTATCTCGACATCCCTACAAAAACATCTTGACCTACTTTCTCCTTGGTACTTCCAATGGCACATAAAAATAAACGAATCTAAATCAATCAATACCACATTTACCCTCAAAATGCAACAACCCCCTCCGGTTTCACTAAACAATGAAATAATCCCTAATTCGGACACGGTTAAATATTTAGGATTATACTTTGACAAAAAACTCAACTGGGCCAAACACATTCACATGACCAAACTAAAACTAAATCGAAGACTCTCTATTCTCCGTAGTACTATGGGCAAAACCTCAAAGCTCAACCTAAAATCAAAAATTAACTTATACAAACTACTAATAAAACCCATCTGGACGTATGGGATTCAGCTATGGGGAGCTGCTAAAAAAACAAACATTAACAAAATTCAAGTAGTCCAATCAAAAACTCTCCGTCTCATCACTAACGCCCCTCCGTACGTCTCGAATGTAACTCTACACTCAGACCTGAACATACCGTATGTCAAAGAAGCTGCAAAAAATCACTACCTTAAATTCCACAACAGACTACAAAACCACACCAATCCCCTCATTAAAGATCTTTCATCACACTCCCTTCCGGGTAACACGGTAAGGAGACTCCAGCGTAAGTGGCCCAGAGACTGGTTAGCATAATACACAGGACTATACGTTAAACATTAAAAAAAAAAAAAAAAAAATATTGTCAGTGGATAAAGGGAAATCCCATGTTCTAGAATATGCGATGATTATTTCGTTAAGGTAATTTCGAGAATGTTCTAGACAATCGACGCTGATATATATATATATATATATATATATATATTTCGGCTGGTCAGACCCTCATTCAGTCAGTCCGTGAGTACAATCCGCGACACACCGTGAATTACACTCCGCAATGTCTATTTTAATTAAATGTAATTGTGAGTGATTGTTATTACTTAAATGCCACAATACTATTCATATTATAAAATTGATACAACGTTCTAAAATTTATTTTTAATATTTTATTTACAATTTATTCAAGATAACTTAAATAAAAATAATTATTTTAATATTGTTGTGTATATATTTATTTTTATAGAACTTCAATCAAAATTTAGATTTAGTTTTTATTTAGGTTTATAGTTATTTTATAGTTATGTGTAAGAAATGGATAGATAACCTGGCTATTGTTATTGATAGGTATACATGAGACTCATTTCTATTTGTATTTATATTAAATGGGCCCTAATTATATCCAGTTTCCCGGTGGGAAAAATTAACCCAGTATGCGCCTGCTTTGGCCTTAACTTGCTGGGGTAATCTGGTCTTCCAGGTTGGTGGTTGGACACAGGACTAACGACCTTACCTTGCAAAAATATTTTTGTTCAGGATTCATACAACAAGTCTCAGGCTAGAGTATGTAGTAAAACAACTGGAAACTGGAAAACGGTCTGCTATGTAGTACATGGAATGTGCGAACCTTGCACAAACCAGGTGCGGCTTTGGATTTGATTAAGGAGTTAAGAAAAATACCGAACGAAGTGTTTAGCACTTCAAGAAATTAAATGAGAAGACGCCGGGATGACCAAAACGTCTTAATCAACCAACTTCAACGGAGAGTGCGAAAAGGGTCATAGACTGGGAACTGGTTTTGCAGTGCACGAGTCAATTATACATTTAATAAAGGACTTTAGAGATATGAATCCTAGAATTGCAATTTTAACACTTAAAACAGACAATTTTGACATGGTACTAATTTACGCATACGCACCAACAGAGGATAAAGATAAGAGGAAAAAAAGCTGTTATATGCGACACTAGAAGGTACGTTTAACTTGTTGAAAGGGGATATAAGATTAGTACTGGGTGATTTAAATGCAAAAATAGGACGTGAAAAATGCTGCAGGTCGACTATTGGAAACCATAGCCTACATGTAAACACAAATGGTAATAGTATTATAGAAATCGACTTTGCTTTAGGAAATTACGAAAAAGACACGAAAAGACATACATAAATATACATATATCTCGCCAACTGGGAGACATACAAACTAAATTGACCACTTCCTAATAAATAATAGATTCAAAAATAGTATTCTGAATATAAGAACCTTTTGGGGAGCTGATATGAACTCCGATCACTTACTGGTTGGTATATGAATGAAAGTGAACATTATAAAATATTAGAAATGTAATCTAACAAATAGAGGACGAACTGATAAATCTATCATAGCTAAGTTAACGGACAAACAAATATGTAAGGAGTATGCAGAATGCTTTCAGAATATTATTAAAAGTAAACAACAAGATATGGAAGGAAAATCTCTTCTATATTCAACTAAAATAAATAACAAAATTTACATTTCTTTACAATAATATTTGTTCTCGATTTCATAGTAAAAAATAAAAATAAAAAACGAAAATGGATGATCTATTTCATAAAATATTAATTTATCCATGTTACTTCACATTTTTGTTCGTAGATAATTGGAGTAAAACTCCTTTTTCATAACACGACAAACAAATTATATCATTTTCTTTTAAAAAGTATTCTTCAATAATCTCCAATCGTATTGCTCCCACATATGTACCATTCATACTCTGGAAAAAATAAATTTTTATACTCATACTTATAGGTAACCACATATTTTTCTAGTTGAAATGGAACAAAAAAAAAATCTTTATATTAAATTAACTACACTCATTAATAAGTAACTAATTTTTATTATAAATGACTTTTTTTTATTTAAGAAAAAGTGTCTATCTAAAGAAAACGGTCGACAATTTTTATTAAATAGTTGGAGCAACAAATAACAATGAATGGAGTAGCATAAAATATTATATCAACGATTCGATTTCCAAAGATCAATTGATTCACATAAAAAACAGGATTAACAATTCAATTCTATCTTCTCAAAAATAATCGGTTTTTTAAAAGATCGGAATAAGGAGCTTGATTCAAAAAATCCATTCATCGCGTGAAATATATCGATTCAAATCACCACTACTTCACATTACATATTTTTTAAAAACTCACAGAGGTCATTGTACCACATGGTCAAACGTCTGGGAAAATTATTTTACTTTAAACAAGATAATAAATATTTTAATTTTAATGTGTGATAAGCAGGGCCGGCACTACATTTTGCGAGGCCCTGGGCAATACTTATTTTACCGATAACCATAGGCACCTAGGCCGTAAATAAAGCGATTTGGTAACAGCTGCACGCGATATTTAGACTAAATTTAAGAAATGCGATAAAATAAATTTTCTAGGGATCCCAGTTTCCATGCAGTGCGGTGTGCTATACGTGTCATAGTGCATAGTTATATGATATATTAAGGAGTGTACACACGAGTACACCAAACATGCAATGCTGCGTCCAGACGGAGTAACCATCGGCCCCGTGCCACGCGGCAAACACGCGTCCACATGGTACGGCATTTATTTCCTGATTTGTATTAAATCAGTTAATAATAATAATACATTATTATTCATGGTTGCTATAGAGTTGTGTCATTTTTAATGGGCAACTAAGTGCACGAGATCAGCAAATAATCTATATTTTTGAATCTTGAAAAACATGAAGTTAAAGATTTTTGAAAAATCATTATTGATCTTTGTATTTTTAAAAACAGAGAATCTTCAGTATCGACATTTTGATAGAATAAAAATTGTGTCTTCTGGAGATTACTATAAAAATCAGTTTTACCTCAGTGAAAAAAGTTTGTTTTGTTACTAATTACTTAAAAAATAATTTAAATACCTACTTAAAAAATAAGTATTGATGCCGCGCGGCTTTGCCGAAAATACGTCCACACACACGCGGCATAGGCTTTCCTTTGATGTAGACCGCCTACTAGGTCGATCGGAAATTATGCCGCGCGGCATCAAAAAAGGCTGCGGAAAATGTATTCATATATTTACACTTACGCCGCGCGGCCGTACAGTGCGGCAAAAGCTGCTCCGTCTGGACGCGGCTTTACACTCGCGATGCAATGTAATTTTTAATTCACTACGGACACGCGCGGCGCCAACGATCCACTATCAACGCGCACAGTTTGTAGCGAATATTTTCTTGCATAGTTCAGATGTTCGAAGTCGTACCGTGACTGATCGTTGTTGTTTTATGAAATTATTTGAAATTTAGTTATTTTAATATAAGTAATACAACTTCAGTAATATATCTCGATCAACCGTAGACAATTTTCTTTTGACCACTCCATTAGTTATTCAAATATGCAAATACAAAACTTAAAATTACACAAATACGAGTACTATATAGTAAGTGGTAAGTTACGACAAGGGCGTATTTGAATTGAAACTATTTGGAGGGGGGGCGAAATTAATTTTCCTTCTATACAAACTTAAAAATAATTTACAGTTCATTACCTACAGCTCATGTTCCTGTTGCTCATTCGAGTGAATAAATAAAAATACAAGTACGAAATTGAATTAACTATTTATTTAATAAATTTATTTAAAACCTACTGCATATAAAATAAGTGTTAATAATAACAATACAAATAGTTCCTATATTAAAATTGTGCCTTCAGTCTGAATTATGTATAAAAAAACCACAACAAATAATCATAGTAGTAACAGTACCTTTCAATTATTTTTTAAAAACCTTCGCTCTCCCCTAAAATTCGCCCTTGAGTTACGATGATGTACTAATACTAAATATCAGTAAATAACGATATTAGTTTCAAAAGCACGTTGTTAAAGCAACATGTGCGTTTTAAGGATGATAAAAATACGTCCACACTGCTCCGAACAATTATTTTGTTTTCGTTGGAAAAACCGACAAAAACTGGTTCACTCCGCGCCGTTGCATGTTCGGCGTGGTCGTGTGTACAAACCTTTAAATATAGTATAATATTGTTGTTTTCTTAATTTGTTTTATTAAGGTTACATTAGCCCGCATACGAACGAATGGCGCACGAACACAACCGCACGAATAATGTAAACAGTTCGATTGCATACGAACGAAGACGTTCGTTCGTGTGCGGTCGTGATTAGAGATGGGAATCCAACTCATTCTGCTGAGCTGAATCTTTCAACTCACTTCAGTGTAATGAGTCGAATCAAAAAGTCGACTCTCAACTCTTCATGTCTAGACTCTTGATTCGATTCACTAACTAATTATGACTATAAGCGTACAACGTTACGAATTTTTCTCAGAAAATCAGAAATCTTGTTTTAAGAAACAATAGAAATATTAATAAGCAAATCCGAAGGGAACTACTGTTTAAGTTGGTATTACATTTTGCGTTTGGATTCGCAACCATTATCCAGGGAGTCGAGTTTGTGTATCTACAGTAGTGCAGTTGTGAGTTGTGAGTTTAACTGAGTCACTAAGTCGCCAACTCTTGTAAAACTGAGTCGATTCGTCTAGTTCATTTTTAAGAGTCGACTAACTCATGAACTGCACATCCCTAGTCGTGATCGACTGAAGAGCGGTAAGATCAAACAAACCATCCATTTAATTTAAACGGCATTCGGCTCGTATGCGTTGTTTGCGTCGTATTTTATGTTAAATATTTTATTTTGACTCAATTGTGGAGTGGACGGACGATGAATGTTCATATCTTATAAATTTATATTAATCAAGACCAATTCTATGGGATCCTGAACATCCTCATTATAAAATGGGCAAGAAAAAAATTAACTTCTGGTTGGAAATAGCTAATGAATTAAAACGAAACTTGAACGAAACAAAGAAAAAAATGGAGTCTTCTAGGATCTTGTAAAAATGTTTGAATTTTTAAATTAAATACACGTGATTTTGACAACATGACTTCACTCGACAACAGTTTAATCGGTAGTAAGTATACTAGGTGTATCTGGAAGCGAACTTTAAGTGCATGAACGAACGCATTAATGTAAACGATACAGGGAATCTTCGTGCGGTAGCGTTCATGCGCCATTCGTTCGTATGCGGGCTCTAATGTAAATGCACCTTTGCACGCCAACGGATTTCTCAACAACTCGCTAGGTGATCCATACATTTTACGTTTTATTTTATGAGATTTCCAAACAAAATATTTTTTAATTTAAATTTTAAGAGTGAAGCCCTGAACAAATACCCCGTTTTGTCTGGTAAAATACGATTGAGAACGTTATTTTTGGTAACACGATTGAGAACGCTCGATATTTTTTTTTTCCAACGTTGCCAAATGTAATCGAAAGATAATTTTACCACCATAATCGAACGATAAAGAACGTTATACCGTTATACGTTTATCGGATGTTATTTATAACTTAGATACCAGACATACGAGAGAATGACTTAATAGGCGTTGTAGTCATCGCACAAACGTCAACGTTTATATTCATCAGTTTATAAAATATTATATTAAAATATATTAAACTAGCTGAATTACCCGTCGTTGCCGGGTTTAAGTATATAAATGTATGTAACTTGCCAAGATTAAATTTTGTTAAATCTATTGAAATTTAAATTAATTAAGATTTTTGAAATAATATTTTATACATATTAATTTAGTTATTATCATAACCTATTCGATAAGTTATAGCTTACAACTACCTGAACCTCTCTACAGTTTGGTATTCTGTTGAATACATATAGCATCTCACTTCTCCGAATATTTTACCTTTTGTCAATAAGTTCATGGTCTTTTTGACTTTTAACCGAAACACTCTTGCAATTATATCATGTCGATCATATGATCTTTGACCGGGAAGTAAGAGCTCTTTTATCTCGTCCCAGCGAGGATTACATGTAAAAGTAATAAAAAGGTCAGGACGACCGTAATGTCTAACGTAGGTCATAGCATCTTGTGTTCTTTCGTGCATGTACCTTGGCCCACCAGTAAAAGTTGACGGGAATATAACCATTTGGCCTAACTGATTAGCTTCTATGTCTCGTCGTCCAATCGCATCTTTTAAATGAATATAACTATCTGCACGCAATTTGGCTTGGTTGTTTTTGATGTAATTTAGTCTTTCAGTTTCAATTTTGGCGTATTCATCTACCAAATATTGACTGAAAAGAGAACGATAATTAACTAAATAGTTGTCTTCCCCTTCTCTGACCATTATTCTATATGAGTAAAAACTTGATGCAGAGACAGTTTTTTTAAGCGGTAACTTGGTTTTTGGATCGCGTTGTGGTATATTGATTGCATACCCATCATCCCCCCCAACAAAACATTAAAGGATACTGCAGTGCGTCGTATGCTCGATGTATCTCACTGATACGGTGAAGTGAGTTACTTCGGTTTTCGAGGATGATGTGTCTTCGATCAAACTGCTGATCTATTAACACTAAAGCAACTTCATTTGCCGTTGGTGCATTATACCTGCCTCTATGTTCTTCTGGTGGTTTTTTATCTGCATGTATTACAACTTTAAATGACTCTGAAGGAGGTATTTTATCGATGGTAAATTGTAATGATCAATTGTAAATTATACGGTGGCATGCCTAGTAAATCCAATGAGTTTAAAAACTCTGTTGGATAATTTACAACTTCAGTAGCATCGCAAACTATATCTAGATTTGTATGACACCAAGTTTTCTGGTAACAAATTTTGTATCTTGAGATTCAATTCGTTGACCTCCACATTTTTTGCTACTAAAATTGCTCTTTCTGCCAGCCACTCATGATTTGTGTATTGTCTGTGTACACTGGGACATATCTGGTCAATGAGAGCATCTTGCGAATAAATGATTGTGCAGAAATCGTTCGGTAATTTTATACATCCCGTTTCATCTGTAGTAACTTTCCCATCTCCAATATCTAACAATTGTTTTGAGAATCTTTTGTATGCAGCTTTTTTTGATTGAATCAAAATCGAAGTATCGAAATCGTTCGCTATCTATCTTTATATATATTTCGACCATGAATTGTTGACAAAGCTTATGCATCGTAAAATAACTTAGTCCTGATCGCGTCTAATCATCAACCGATATGCATAATAATTTTTTGAACTAACATTCTTATTTGTTTTGGCACCTGTTGCGGGATCTTTTTGTTTAATATTTATGCAATATCCGTCATTTACTACCAAAAATAAAACTAATAGTTTTTAAATAGTTTTTAATAGTTTTTTTTAATAATTTTTTAATATAATTCATTTTCATTAGCGCAGTTATCGACCTGGTCAAAAAATATTAAACCGATTTCAACCCTTTAAATTTAAAATTTCGAAAAATCCTTTCTTAGCGCACGTCTACATCATAATAGCTATCTGTATGCCAAATTTCAGCCAGATCCGTCCAATGGTTTGAGCTGTGCGTTGATAGCAGTCAATCAGCTTACTGTTTTATATATACAGAAGAAGATATTATAATATATTAAAATTTTAAATAACTTTTCGTGTAATGGAAAATAATGAAATTAAAATTATACGAAGTGAACGAGGTGAAGATCTAGTACTATTAGATAATAATAAATATTGTTTAACGAAGTTGAAGATGCATTCTTGGAGTTAATCGCTGTTTTCCCAAATGAAATTGGTCACATTTTTTCAGATTATGTTTTACATAATTACATAGAGCCTGACTGTCCGTTCAATACGAAATTGTGGGCAATGAAACTTTCGGAAAATCCCAGGTAAGTTTCAAATAAATTAATACTTGCATATTAATAATTATTACAATTAATAACTTTCTACGACTACCAATGCCGCTGAAAGCTTTCATAGAACATTTAACAGCCAATTTTACAGTTCTCATCCAGCAATATATATTGTTATTCAAACACTAATAGAAACACAATCAGAAACTTCATTAAAAATAGCAACGGTAGAACAGGGTAAAAAAAAGAAATGCCAATAAATCAAAAGAAAATATTAATTAATATTCATAATAAATATGTATATGTGGTATGTAACAAATAAAAGTTCTAGTAATTTATTAAAATATTTAGATTATGTTGGATTACGCTATCCCGCTATAACTAATTTATAGATAACTCATTCGTCATTACATTTTTTTAATTTATTTTTTTAACATATTTATATATTACATATGACTTTTTTCTAGAATATTTGTTAAATGATAAATAGTAAATGATATGGCAACGTTGCACGTAAATTAGTTCTCAATCGTATTCTTTTTTGTATTTTTTTAGGGTCAGTGGTAAGTTCTTTGTTATTTTTAAATGTTCTTAATTGTTCGGCCAAAAAGGTATTACGATCTCAATCGTTCGATAGCCGTTTTGTCTCCCACTAACACTGGCTTTGGTGATAAGCTATTAAAATGTCAACATTTTGAACATTCAATAATAAAAAAATTAAATTTTACACAAATTTTGTTAAATATTGTTCACAATGCAAAATTAAATGGTACAATTACCTGACCTTTTTAATCACTAAATAATATTAATAAAATTATATACTAACTCCTAGATCCTTAATTACTGCCAAGCCATTATATTCAATCCATAATTGACAATGACTCCTAGATACAGTTTCATTATTCAAAACAATTGTATTATTCCATGATCTTCCGATATTGTTCTGAAAATTGAAAAATTAAAATTATTAAAACAATGTACCGTATCACAATATTGTATTATTCAATCATAATTGTGATCAATAAAATTAAAAATATACCAATCCATAGTTCAAGTTGAAAATTTCTTCATACTTATCATCTCCATTTTGAAAACATTTTAATATCCACTTATTCATATTATAGTTTTCAATATAATTATTTTTTTAATTTAAAAAGCTTTTCAATTTGATTAAAGAACAATAAAATAACTAATTTTTTGTTGTTAATACATGGATTATGTTTACTACTTAACGACTACCACTAAATTCCAACATAGAATAAGTTAAATGTATTCTATAAATTTATATAATTTGTCGCACATACAAATGTACTATACTTGCTGTGTTTGTCCAAAACCTGTCAATTAAATTACCCTATATAATTATTATTATTATTATTATTATTATTATTATTAATTATTATTAATTAATTATTGTTAAATTATCAATTGTCTATAAAATCAGGGGCGTCTTTAGACTTACTTCTAGGGGGGGGGGGGGAGACTCAATTTTTTTCTTTAATTCAGGTTCAACATTTACAAGTAAAATTTTTAGTGATATTTAAATCAGGTAAATCCTTAACATTTGTGGTTTTTTTTTTTAATATAATACCGAATAGAAATAGAAACTTGGAATCGACTTTTGAGTAGCTCTCTTTTAACACCTGTCTGTGTTTTGAAAGTTACGCTTTTGTTTTATTTGATTTTTCACTAAGTATGGACTCGATAAAAAGGCCAATTCAGTATTCACAAGCAATGCGTAATTTGATTTCGTTAATAAAATGATCCACATTAAAAAAATTTGAAATGAATATCTCACATATAATTAATTTATTAAATATGGATTCAGGGGAGTGCGATCGCCCATTCACATAACCCCCTAAAATACGCACATGTATAAAACTGGTCTCATACTACACGTTGAAACACCCGTAGTCGAATTCATCCACTGTCGCGATTTTGTATATACGTGCATGTAAACCATATTGGAGTCCCGTATTTAGGGGGGAGCTACACGGTGCTGTTTTCCATGGTGGTTGAATATGCGAGGGAGGCTATTTTATTTATATTTTCAATATTTAATGATCTTTTTTTTTTTAAATGAAACTTCTTTACATAATAAAAAGTGTATCTCAAAAAAATATATATATTGCCAATCACAGCGTCATGACATACACACACTCACATACTCGGTAATGGTTGAGTATTGTCAATAGATCCAAAGATTTACAAACAATCAATCTATCCTTATGTTCACATTGCACTTAGAATGTTTTTGTGTACACCAGCTACTAATTGCTCTTTAGAAAGATCATTTTCGACCCGCAGAAATTTGTATATGGTATAATGGGGCGTTTTTTATCGTTGCCCCCGGGTGTCGAATTCCTAAATACGGCCCTGCCGTTTGTTTTATTTTCGGCATTTAAACTCCACGTTTTAAAAATACGAAAACTAGCGCTTTGTGTGAAACTAACTTAAGTTTTGTAATAATGTGAATGAATAAATGATTACCGTTAAATTCATGTCATTCAGATATGAAATAAATGAGCTAGCCACCTCTACTAAGTCTCAACTGGAGATTTTATCTTATTCTGTGATTTGGCTAAATGCTGTCCTGGCAGGGGGAGGACATGACGCGAAAACTCATACTACAAAGTAGAATACTTTAACAGCATTTTAAATTTTGTTTAATTAATTTATTTCTTCTGTTATTAATTGATATTAAATTATCAATTTATCTTGTATATTTAAAATTCTCATATATTTTTTTATATTTTCTATATTAATATATTATCCAGAATGTGTACAAATATTTTTTCTTGATTTAATAGACTAATTCTTTTTCAAATATATTTATATATTTATATATATTCTCATCATTGAAGACCAGGGACGGCCTGGCCCACCGGGATACCGGGAGGTTCCCGATGGTCTGACCTATTTATTGGGATTTGTCATTGGCCTAACGGCCGTAACACTTTTTTTTTAAAATAATTAGTTTCTAAAAAAATTAAATAGTTAGTTTTTAAAAGAAGTTTTTGCACTTCAAAAGTTGTCTAAAACATAGTTAATAACATTTCATAGGAATATCCATGACCGCCGATAAAATAAAAATATAAGTTGAATAAACAAATAAATATGAAATGTTGTATTATTTACAATGACGCGCCCGCTGGAAGGTTAATATGAGTATTTTGGGATACAGAAAAGCATTATTATTATTGTGTATGTTTCGCCGACAGAAATGAAGGGCTGGGGTTGCTGAGAAATTAAGTCAAGTTATGTGTAATAGTTGTAGAAACTGTACACTGTGTTGTTAAAAGTATTGATAAAATAAAATTTATATAGTAACGCTCATCAAGTCTTAACAGTTGCTTATAAGTACTTATTGTGTCTTCCTGTTACCCAAGTTGCTTGTGAACGATCTTTTTCTACTTTAAAGTATATAATAAATAGGTTAAGAAGTAAACTTACTAATGAAGCGTTTATGTTAATGTCAGTTGAATAAGAAATTTCGATAAATATTGATAATGATCAAATAATTGATTTATCGTCACAAAAAATTAAGCTTTCAACATGTCTTAACTTATTAATTATATTTAAAATATAAAATTAATTATATAAGCTTAATTGATGTATTTATATTCTTTTTAGTTTGTTTACACAAAATAATTTATTATAAAAAATTCAATCATATAGTAGGTATTGCTTTTTATAAAAATTAATGGCTAATAGAACTTTTTTTTTCAGTTGTTTAAAAGAGAATCAGTGGTCGAAATGGCTCAAGATAAGTGGAGGGATGCCTTACAATTCAAATTTCCTGATATCATCATAACATTCTTCACACCTTGTGTACCTATAATATATTTATTTTTTTTTTAATTCACATAAGGTATATTATCTTAGTCCGTGGCTCTAAATACGGGTATAATACGGGTTATACTAAACAACACGATGAGCCGGGCGCCCGGGTCTGAATGTTAAAAACAATTATTTTCACCGAAAAAAAAAATGTCTTATATATGTTACGGTGAATGATGTAAACGTGGTAAAAGACGTCATTCCCCGGTAAATGACATCATTTACCTAAAAATTGGTAAACGTTGTAAATGCAGACATTCTCCGGTTATTGTCGTCAATCACCAGTTTAATTGGAGAATGATGTTTAATACTTTTATAAACGAAAATCCCAACTAGCAATAACGTCGATAACCCGAATAATAATGTGAGATAATCTTTTAGTTTATTAGTTAGTATCGACGGGTATATTATAGCGAGTTGTATTTGCTACAAATGTGTGTTTTATAATATTATTTGTAAAAATTTGTGACAGAAATGACAGAATATGGGGTGTTGAAATACAAATATACACGAGCACAAATTTCTCTATGTAAAGAAAAATTTCTAGAGCTAGATGAAGCCATGAAAAAAATTAAAGACAGGGAAATAACATTAAGAGAAGCAGCAGGACATGGAATAGCTGGTCATCAAGGATTTAATCGATGCAACTGCAAAACTGGTTGTGGTACTAAAAAATGTGCTAGCAATGTAGTGGAAATGTTGTGCAGTTCAAAATTTCTTAGTAACCAAAATTGTACAAATAAATAATTTGTAATATGCACGTATTTTATTATTTTTTTTATTTTAACAATAAATTATTATAATCATTATTATAAATAGTACCTATAGTAAAAAAATCAGTGTATTATTTGAGATTTATCATCATTTACCACCAGTTTTGGTAAATGACATCAATGACCGGTGAAAGATGTACATTTGAATTTAAAATCTGGTTTTTTACATCATTTACCTACATAATCGAATCATTTTGGTAAAAGACGTCATTCACCGAAGAATGACCATTCACCAATATTCATCTTTTACCGTAACATATACAAATATATATGTATAAATATAAAAATGATTATAAGTATATCATTTTAAAATACAAGTCTTAGGAGGAATGCGTTATTCTAGACAAAACAAGTAAAGGGATGAAAACTGTAAATACAAAAAAGTAGAGGGATGCCATCCTTCCGTATCCCCCCCCCCCACTTCGAGCACTGAAGAGAATACATAGAGTCACAGAGATAGACTTAACTAGGCCTTCAAAATTGAATTGACATGAACAGACAATAGTCTCACAAAAATATTGTTACTGATTGAAGGTTTATTTTTTTTTATGTCCACTTATACTTATAACAAAAACTAAAAGATTAGATAAATCAAATAATTATTAAAGAAATTGGTAGTGTTGTTGGGGGGGAGGTTGATTATAAATACTAGTATATATAATCAATGATATCACTAAATCTAACTGATTATGATTGAATAATAACATTGGGTTTTTCCATCTTGTTTTTTTTGTACTAAATTCTAGTGATGGGAACAATCGAGAGAAAATACTCGAAATACTCATTGTTCGATGTAATCGATTGTTCTCGATTGTTTTGGAAATCATCGAGTGATTCTCTCGGTATCAAAATCAGTTGAAATAATGAGTGAAAAATACTCGATTACTCATACACTCGTTTAGTTCCGAGTTATTCTCTCGGTAACAAAATCCTATATCAGTTGAAGTAATCGAGCGAAAAGTGCTGGTTAGTTTAAATTAGTTCTAAGATAATATAACACTTAACTAATAGGTAGTCGGTACTAGATTACTTTTTGTTTCTACTCTTCTAATCATACCCGAAATATTGGTAATCGAATTATGACAAAAATAAAAATGAAAAATTGTAAAATGTTTCGATTGTTAAATATTTTCGATTATTAATCTCTCGATTATTGAAATCACTCGATTGTTCCTATCACTACTATATTCATCCCAGAAAAAACAAAATTACGGATTCTTTATTTTAAAAACGATGGTCAACACACATCTAAGGCCGAGCGCCCACCAAAGTAACGTGACATGTGGCGTGGCAAGTGAAGTAGCAAGTAGCATGCATCTAGTATGCTATTTTGTATCAAAACAATGTAATTAATAGATTTAACGCCAAATAAAGTGATACGACTGTGATATGACAAACTACATGTTACTTCGGTGTCATTCAAATGCAGCATGTTCCATTTTTTGCCACGTGTTACGTGTTTTTACCGACTAGAGTGACAAGTGTTTTGAAAAAATATTGTTATTTTAATTATTTTATTAATTTTCTAACTTTTCTTTTCATAATTTTCTAAATTAAAAATGAAAGACGATCCAGATTTTAACATACATTTTGTTGGTGTAATTAACATTGTTATTAACATTGATTAAATTTACTAAAGCCAAAAAACTTTCGTCATCCGATGAAGAAGAAGACATATTGACAACTGGTGTTACTAGTTTCTAGATACATAGGTAGGCGTTGTGTCACACCATTCGTCATTTTGTTGTTACGTGTTTGCTATATCACTTGCCACGCCACACGTCACGTTACTTTGGTGGGCGCTCGGCCTAAAGCGAATTATACTTGTTTATTGATACTCGGCTATTAGTAGATTTAGTAGAAATCGACAAAAAAACCCAACAAAATCAGCAGATAACAAAAATTAGAACCAAATAACTAAAACGAAATTATCGTATTATATTATACTTACCTATATATTATCGCTGTAATTGTACAGAGCTGTATTAGCGTAGTCGGTCTATTTACTTAATCTATACATTTATAATTTAATTTAAAATTAAAATTAAAATTTTGAATCTTGAAAATTAGATCAACAAAAATCAAAAAACACGTTTACCAAAATACAATTTCATATAATATGTCCGATTTTGATTAAAACAGGTAAAATGCAAAAAAGTCTCAAAAAATCTAAAAAAAGCACTATGAACTATAAAACGCAAAATATGCAAAAAAAAGCAAAATAAAATTTTTATTTGGGTTCTCTGTATCATGAAACACATTTTTAACTTATTCTGCTATTTTTTAAACATAAGAAATATGCAAATGCTATAAAATCCCAACCCTGCTTATTACTATAACATTATTTTATAATGAAATAATAATATTTATTACAGAAATAAATATTATTCTTTAATTAAATTCCACAATGACTAGCATGCATTTTTTTTAGTAATTTTTATCTTTTTAGGATAGTTTTCTTCCTCTCCTGTTCGTTTGTCTTTTTTAACCCACGATTCAATCCATTTTGTTGTGTTAATCTTGTCAATTGGTGGAAAATTAAACAAAAAGTTCTCAAAAGGTTGTCAAAAGTAGAAAGTAGAAGCACCGTACGACTATACAACCGAAATCACTTCAAAATTATATAGTTATTTAGCCATGATTATTGTCATCAACGGTAATCGTTTTCTGGGAAAAAATAACCATTACTTTGTAGTTTGCTATAGAAAATAGAAATAAACGAAAACAAAATCCAAATACACCGTTCAAAAGTAAACATTCTCACGAGGAGACTCATTTTTAGCATTCCTCGCTTGATTAAATGAAGGATGATGTTGAAACAGTTGCGGTTTTTAAGGGGACGAAGGGGCGTTCCCCCCCTTGGATTTTTTTTTGTATCAATGATTATATTATGTATGTCATATTATTTTCACAATATATGTTCAACATTTTTTTGTAATTATTTATTGATTTTTTTTTTTTTTTTGATATCAGTATGAACTTTGAATTGATAACAATGGAACAATATGCATTATTTTTAATTAAAATTTCACTAAAATATGCTTAAATTGCTTTAAATTTATTACTTCAGTTATGCATTTATTATCTATGTTTTTGTTTAGATTATAGCCAAATCAATGGACTTTTTACTATATTTTTATATAAAATTATGTACATGGTTAGATGTAAGTATGATTCAGAGGCTGTTATTTTATAAAGATCCCAATAAAACTAAATACTTGAATTATGAAATAAAAAATGTATATGTCAATTAATTATTATAGGACCATAAACTTATTTGATGTATGTAATTATGGTGAGTGCCAATAAAAACCAAAAAAATTTAAAATAGCGCCCCCCCCCTTGATGTTTTATCAAAACTGCCACTGCGTTGAAATTTATGGAAAAATGAAAGCGGACTCCGTCCGCCCGCGTTCCCCCTCAATTCGAGCACAGGTAATACCATGTCTTGTACTAAATAACACAAGTATATTAATTTATAACTTACTGTTATAAACTACTTAACAATCAGTGTACATTTAAAAAAAGTTTATAAATGTTTAGAATTAAAAAACTGATATAATTATCAGAATATTTTTTTTTAAATAATTTTTACTGAATTAAGTTGTGCACCAAGTGTAAACAATTTGTATGTTATGTAATTATGTTTTAATTATGTAATATATACTATAAATTAATAAAAATAAAATTGTCCATTTTTAGTTAAAATATTTTCCAATATAGTTTGAGATCTCTTCCTTTTTGAATCTTAATCCATAATAACTACTGAAAATTATTTTTTATTACACTCATTATATTGACTTACTGTATACTGGTTGAGCATTGATCTTGAACTGAAATGTCTTATTTTGTGTCTATTTGAATGGAAATCATACCAGCTGCTTGAACTTTCATAACTATTGACTTTTTCGTCAACATATTAATTAAATCAATTATTACATTAACAGTAGTTTTTGATAAAAAATTTATTAACGACCCTCTTAACCTAACCTTGAACATTTATTGACTTATGAGATGACATGCATCTTTTGCTCAACTACATTTAACTATTTTATCAATATGTTCATTTAAAACGATATAATGTTCTTTTAAAAGTTATATTAAGGAAATTACCATTGTCTGCAATGGGGTCTAATAACGATAATGTGTACTTATTCCTATGAACTTTGTAGATAAGACCTCCTTAGCCTAATAATTTAACAGCATTTATTATTTGAATATTTTTCTTTGCCTCTTATTTTTTATTATTTTTTTGTGTAGAAAATTATAAAAAAATCTATTTTTTTTTATTTGAAAATGTAAGATATGCTTTAGAACAGTTTTTATGATTATTACTGTTTTCAAGTTCATCAATATCCTGATAAACATGTGTCCAAATATTAAGCCCTTAAGTGAATACATTTGGCTTTAAAGAAAATGCCAAACATACACTGCAGTAAATTGTCAAAAAATAATTATTAAAAGTCAACTAACACCGATTGGTTTTATTTTTTCTAAAATATGCTTTGAATGATTTAAATTAATGTTCAACAAGTGGTTGAATAGGATGGAATTTAAAAAATCAATCAAGCATAAACTGAGATGACTTTTGAAAACAATTATATATGTCGGTAGATTATTATAAAATACATTATATTATTTATCCATAATTATTATCTACAGAATACAACCAAATAAATTAAATATGTATTACAAACAACTTATTTACTATACTTACAATTTCAGCCATAACTGTTACTATAACATATCAAAAAATATTATTGTTTAAATTTTTATCATCATGAGATGATTTGGGCTTGTGATGAGGTGAGAGGAAACAAAAACACTAAGAATGGTAATGACAACGAATGTTGAAGGGAAAAGAGGAAGACCAAAATAGAGATGATTGGATACAATTGATAATTATATGAGAGCTGTTGGTGTTGGTTGTGCAAAATTTAGTTGAATAATTAGTAGACTAATATTAATACATTTATAAAGAGTTGGTTGCACAAATTTAAGTTGAATAATTATTTTGTAGTATATGATGCAAACTATTTAATAGTCAGTAGCAACAAATAGAAGCTTCTGCCCTTTACTTTTTGTGATCCCCAGTTTAAAAATCACTGTTTTAGATCAAGTAAATGCATGTCATATCAGTAAAGTAAAAAATAGACTATAGTTGATTAAAATAAATAATTTTACAATAAAGTAAATATAAATATAATATACATTATAATATAAAACAATTAATTTTATAATAATTCTAACGCTTAAACATTAACATCAATTCACAATGTTTAGTATGAGGAAACATGTCAACTGGTTTAATTGATTCTAAAATAAAAGGGGCAGTTTTATTATCATTCCTTAATAAATCTACAATGTTTTTCATAGTTATTGGACTATCAGCTTTACATGATACATACACCAGACTATTGATTAATCGATTTTTTCTAATAGCATTAATTACCCTAGGATCTACAGAAAATCAAAATTAATAATTAAAAAAATTAAAAAGATTATGTCAACTTACGCACTCCTGCACGACCTGGATTTAAAACTGCACATAATTCATTGCTCATGCTTAATTCATTTAAAACTTGATTCAAAACCTGAAAACAAAATAGAATAATTATCTTAGTTTGTTTATAAAAATTATGTCTGTGGACTTACTATTTCTACTTTTCCCTCTATAAAATCACAATTGTGAATATTATTAATTTTTGCATTTTCTTTAGCGTCATTGACAGCCTGTGCTACAGATTCAATACCAACACAAGATTGGAAATGTTCACTGCCAATTAAACTTACAGCACCTTTGGATAAATTATATTTGATTAGTAAAAGATTAAATATTATGATTATCTAATATTACCAGTGCCTGAACACAAATCAAGTAGTGTTGATGTTTTTGATAAAGAAGTTAATTTGAATAATTGATCATATAAAATTTTGGCCGCTGAAGTATTGATTTGAAAAAATGAATCTGGAGATATTCTAAACTTAAGCCCACATAAATTTTCATATATGAACTTATCGCCATCAACAAGGATAAAAGTCGAATCTTTTGAACTCCTTGTATGTAAACTAAACCAATTAAACAAAATCAATGGATTGAAACATTATATAACAAATCTCATTTACAACCTATATTTCTAAGAAAGGTATAAATATTCACCTAGGATGAAAATATAATGAATGAATATCTATGTCATTACATTTTAAATAATCATTAAATTTAAATTGTTCATTTAACATGATTTCATTAGTATAGCCCCTAGGATTGGCAATTACTATAGCCATTATATCTCCTTTTACATTACTTCGCACAACAATTCCTCTCCAAAAGCCACCATCCAGATGATCATGACTAACAGGTAATTCAGATAATCTAACAAACTTTTCAAAAACCTTTCGAAATAGTTAAATGTATTTCAATAACACAAAATATACAAGATATTAAAACCAAATTTTATTTTTTAATATACTTGAGCAATATTCTTATGTGATTCTTTCATATTTATTAGCTTCATGGTAGGAATACAATAAATATTTCCTTTAGGATCACTCACAAAGAATCCAAGAGTTTTAGGGTTACCATCTATACCCGGTCGGAAATTAAATTCATCTTTATTACGGTATTTGTTTATCTGTGGCTGGTTGAGTAAACAAAATTAATTTTGACATTCTTCTAGTACCTATATAACCATTGGTAAATACCTACTGCTGGAGAAATGGGATAGACTTTGGGTAGTCTAATAGGTGTTTTTAAATTGTGTACTCGACTTCGAATTTCTCTGCTAATTCTGTTAGTCCACTGTTGTTTAAAATTTAATTGTTTATCATATGGGATTCGACATAGCGGTGTTACAGCATTTTCTAATGCTTGAAATTGTGTGTCTTCAGTGAGTTCAAAAATAGGCTCATTGACTTCATTCATTAAAACTGAACTCTGTAGAAAAAAACAGTTGAAAGTTACACAATCAAGATGCACACAAATGTATTATAAACAAATGATAAAAATACAAGTTTTTTTTACAGTTCTAAACTGTAATAGTTTTAATCAAATATTTTAAATTTGAATTGATATACCTTTTTACGAATTTTTATCTGATTATGAGTCAGGATACAAATTGCTCCAAGTCTTTTGTTTAATATTTCATGAATGTTATTAAAGCACCAAGACGAAATTTTTTTCAATAAAACCATGATAATACAATTCTTAAGACAGATATGCTAATACGTAAGCCGTTAAAACTTAACTCGATATAATAAATAAACATTAAATATTTAAATACAATGAAAAGCGAAAAACAATTTACTTTAATAACTCCTTTATTTAATCATCCCTCAGCCTTATCAAAACACTAAATAGCATTAATATAGATAAAAATAGATAAATACTATCTAATCACAATTAAAGATATATAATTATATATATATTAATATACCTCGACCATGACTCCCGAGTTATTATACAGTGAAGACATGTGTATGGTAAAATAATGAATATTTTACATATGTATTTATGTTAATATTGAGTATAGTAATGATTAGTACCATGTTTATACATTTTCTTGATTAGAAGTCTTATTGTTTTGTTTGTCCGTGTCGTTTTTTACATTGATTGTTTATAATTTGTTATTAATTATTAGTAATATTTGTTATTATGTAATGTACCTATTCGCATTTTTCTTTTTATTACTATATTTAGTTTATTATGAATTATTTGTTATGATTTACTATATATATTTCCTACCACATACTATAACTTTTTTTATTATACTAATCAATAATTCTCCAGATATTATATTTGGAAAAGAAAAAAAAAGGAAAACTATTACAGGAATGATGCAAACTGATAATCCAAAATAAAATTTGAATATATTAATATATACTGCTTTGAATTATTAATTAAAAGTGTATGATAATTTTTAAGTGAAAATCTTTAAAATTACACAAACAATTTTTTTTAAATAATTAGTTCTTTGATTTTTACTGTATAAACCAGTGCTTCCCAAACTTTTTCGACTTACGGCGCCCTTTTTGATTTAAGGTTTTTTCAAGGCGCCCTTCTCCAAGACATAGCATGACTAATTATAAGGAAAATGTTGGACCTGATTGTATTTCATGACGGCGTGGTGCCTTTAAACAGACATCGCGGCGCACACTTTGGGAACCTATGATATAAACTATTTTTTCCGTGAATAACTGGTTAAACAGTTCTATTGAACTGGTCCTACTGTAGGCCTCAGGTGTCATGGTTGACTGATTCTTTGTTATCGGCTTGCCGCCCAAGAGTGTCCAACCTCTGGTATTATATCACAGAATATAATTAATAAATACCTACTAGCTTCTGTGTGCCTCGCTTCGAGTGAAATTCGCTTAATATATTTATTAGTAATTAATATTAGTAATATAAATTAATAATATTCAAAACATTTTTTATGTAAAATTTATCATGCAATACTACCACGGTTACCACTTGTGATAATGATTACTATTGATATTTTATGAGTGGAAAACCAAGACGGCTTCGTCGTCAAAGGCGTTCGCTATCTAGCAGATATCCACCTAATTGTTTTTTTAAAAGTATTATGGTACTAAACTTAAGGCGGGATCCTACGGTGCGTGGCGTGGCGCGAGGCGCGTTATTCGACTTGTACCATGCGCGCCTGTCTAGGCGCGTCCTACACGATCCCACGGCGCGGAAGATTGTCGCGAACCGTGGGATTACCTTTGATCATATGATTTGACGTAACATTTCCTTTAACGCGTGTCATAGAGACCGACAATCATTGGGAACAGTCGCGCCGCGCCATGTCATGCCATGCCGCGCCGCGCCCCACCAATCCCGCGGCGCGTTTATAATACCGCGCTGTACCACGCAACGTGCCTCGCGCCGTGGGATCCCGCCTTTACGATTAATATGTGGTATCAAACAAATAAAATCCAATATATGTATAAAAAAAAAAATTAATAGTAGAGGGCCAACCGCCGTGTATTTGAAAATAATCAAGTATAATAATTGTACCCGTAGAATGTTATGTATCTCCTCAACAATAGTTAAAGGTTAAATATGTGTATTATTTATTATATTTAATAGACGGCATAGAATTTAAAAAAGGTATAAATATGCATATAGATCTTAATATTTCAATAAAATATATATTTATGATTACAAAAGTATTATAAGTGTTATCTCCAGTAACCTAACCTATAGCATAACGAAGGGACACTTTTATTAAAGTATGTTAAATACAACAATTTATAAGTCTCATAAACGCTAGATAACTTGACATTTTTTGAAATATGGAATTATCAAAGTACAAAAACATTCAAATACATCATAGTCGGTTCAAAGAAAGAAGACATAACACATAACTTATTCTTTCAATAATAATTAATAAATATATATACAATGTGTATCTGCACACAAAAAAACTATAAAAATGGGGATAAATCTTCCTTGATGTTATCTGAAAAAAAAATGTATGAGATAAGTGAATACTTTATAATAGGTGTGTATAAATGAATGTTGGCGTTAGTTACGTTTTACACTCTAAACATTCTTAGTGAAAAACGCACCCAAGAAAGACAACATGGAGATCGCCAACGCCTTTTTCACATTCAGATTAGGTACATTATAGTACTTATCATCAATAATAAAAAGTTATATAGAGGGAATATATAAAATATAAATAATTTATGAAAGACAGAATGTGGACATTTCTTGTAATCATGTGCTTTTAAGCCTAAAGAATATATGAAGAATATATAAAAATATGAAACATAACAAAATCAAAGCAAATACTTTTATTATTATACAACATTCCAGTAAGATACTAACCTAACCTAACGGTATAAGTAAATAAATTATAATAATAACCGACAATAATATTTTCTTATAATATTAGGAGAAAAGTGTATTAATAACCAAGCTCTTGGGTACAACAGTACTATACTCATGTTCGAGCATTTATTAATTCATTGCTCTGCAATCCATTATGAGCAAAGTAAACAATATAGTTCAAGATATTTTAAAAAGACATTTATATCATAGTGGAATAAGAGCGTTAAAAATTGTAATTCGTACAGTTTTCTTTATTTTATAGTTGTGTTTGTTTTGAATAGTACCATTAGCACCAATAACTCATTGAATTCAATTCTATTCCAATGAAAAAAGTATAATGAAAACATACAACAGCTATCTCCCTATATTATTTGGAAAAAGAAATCAAATTGAATGTTTTAACATATTTAAAAAACAAATTTATAATAATTTTACATAATAATTTAAAGACACAATTAAATCATAGTCGAACAATAGACTTAATAAATATACTTGTATATGTGAGCAATAGAATTATAAAAAGTGTTGTATATAATTGTTATCAGTGGTGTATTTTCAATTTTTTCTAGGGGGGGGTTGATTTATTATTTTATAGTGTTCCAGTTTTATGTATATAATGTAAAATTGTAAGGCTCTTCCAATACCGTGGGTCATTTCTATTTATGAATAGATTGATAAATTAAAATGTTGTCCCCCCCTTGAGAATTTTCCTATGGGCATCCTTGGAACCGACACTAGCGGCGGCGTAATTCCTGCGAAGAATCCTGGCAGCGCCGGGGTCGGAATCGAAACCTGTAACTACCTATCGAGTTGAAATCGTTGAGGAAAACGTATGCATTTAAACGATTTGATGGGGAGATAAGGTAGAGCGACAACCGTCGATGAGTGACGTCACGAGCGTGTGAAACGTCACGGCGGCGGGAGGGGAACAGGTGCGGATCGCTCCGATTGGGCTGGTGCTTAGTCGTCGAAATCTCGGATTTTCATCTGACGCAACGGGAAAACGGCCGGTCGGAAAATCGAATGGATCCCTGAAATGGATAGATGAATAAGAACGGAAACGATCAAGAGACCGTGCGAAAAAAGTCGGTGAGATTTAAAAAGAAATGCGACCAATCGCGTGCCAGGGAATTATTTTAATATAATAGATAGAGATAGAGAAGAGATAATAGAAGATATGATCATAGACTATCAAACATAACTATGGTAGTGGTAGTATTGTATGGCACAGATTATATTCACAGAAATTTTAGTGTTCATTTTCCATTTTTGTAATTTCTATACTAATCAAACTTTTCTTTATCAGTAATTTATTTACTTTGTGTTATTTATTTTAACTGTTCATGAGTGATTACTGGTTATACACTATACAATTTAAACTTTGATAAAAATTTATATCAAATTGGTAAAATGAAATAATTAAAATTAATATATTTTTACATAACATTACAACTAGAAATTTTTATATAATAAAGATTACAATGTAAGTACTTAAGTATAATAATTCCTACAAAAAGTTGTGCGCTGTTAAAAAAAAAAAATTAATAATTGTTACTATTTAGAACTTAAAAAGTATGTTTGGATACATTAGAAATCATATAACTATTTTTATCAAACTAAAATGTTATACATTTCATAACATATTTGTCCTAATTTGCTGTAAATCTAACCTTATGTGTGTAATTTAAAATACATCTAAAAATGGAAAACTAGCTTTTTCTGGTTGTATCAAATCAGTTAAATAACATACGGTACCAGCTAATCCTTCGTATAAACTATACAAATGATCTGGTTTCCTAGATCTTTGAATACATTCATCAGTGAATATAAATTCTCCAAATTTTAAAGCTCTATTTAAATGTTTTTTATCACCAGTCAACCTGTATAACAATAAAAAAACATATCCATTTCCAGCTATTCCATGGCAAATGCCTAAAAAATAAATTAATATTTTATCCATAAATACATATAAAGTAAAAATGTTGACAACAAGTAGCTTACCAGGACCCTTTTTTAATAGACCTTTTGTCCACACTAAATCACCACATTTCAAACAACATTCCAAGTAAGAAGGATCTTTAAAAACCAAATATGCCTTTGCAAATAAATATATCACACCTAAAGAGAATATTACTTTTATTATTTCAATATAACAATTTATTTGATTGAATTGTAAATTTTCGAAAAAGGTCTGTCACAAGTTTTTATCAAAATAGACTTTGCTATATTTTTTCATCTATACATAAATCGTCATTTTATGAGTGAGAAGGGCTTATATCTCTTTTTTATTGTGATGAATAAATGAATAAATTATTTGTTAATTGCTAAAATAAAGAAAATAATTCAAAAGAAAATTATTTTTTTTAGTTTCCTGAACAATTTTAATTTTCAGATATGAGCCCTTTTCGAAATTCACAATTCAATTATTTGTGTATTTCATATAACTTTGTTATTATTTTAAGAATAGTAATCAAAAATAAATTAATTTTTTGAATATTATAAAATATTTAAAAATAAATTATAGTATTTCTAAAATAGAAATTACCTGGTGCACCATGACACCAATGAACTAATTCATCTTCTTCTGATCTTTGTTTTGATTCTAAAATTGGCATTTTAGTAGGAAAATTACCATTAGATGTTTGCAATGATTTCATTATATCTATGCAATTTTTAATATCTTGTTTAGTTTGTGGTTCTTTTTCAATAAATTGTGGAAATGAAAGCAATACTTGAATAATTGTACTTAAACCATGTGCAGCACCTAATAAAAAATAAGTTACAAGCTATTCTGTAAAATTTATATAAATATTGATGAATTATCTTTTCAAATAATTATTTTGACCAGATTGGTATGATAAATTTAATATTTTTAGTAAAGATCCTTATTATTTATATTTTAACATTATACTAGATATCTAATAATTAAAAGTAAAAACAAACATAAAATATCTCTTAATGTTCATATAAATATTTGATTTTACAATGCGATCAACTTTAATAAAAAATTTGTTCAGTCAAAATCTAATACATAATATCTATAATAGATATATAAACATATTAATTCTTACAAATTAGGTGAATTAGCTTACAATTGGCCTAGAATAAAATATGTAATGCTATTTTTCAATTTAATTTTCTATTTCCTTGAAACTTTTGATGTAGAGTAATTATTATTTGAAAGTTTAATTTGAGAAAAAAAAAATGTAAGCGTTAACCAAGACATTCTATGACTTACAGAAAGTCTAATATGAAAAATGCTTCTAGTAAACTCATTAATTATATACTTAACTAAAAATAAAACTTACCTAAATATTCCTTGCCATAATATGAGTACATTAGGGGAAATATACTTTTATTTCTTACAGAATATTTGCGACCTGATTCCACGATCGCTGAACAAAGTTCAAAAATATCCTGATCAGCCACAATTTTTTTTCCAAAAACTTTTTCTAACCATAAAACTCCGTAGAGATAACCAGCACGACCAACAAATAATTCGTCTTTTTCCGTTAAATTAGTTAGCCTATAATCAGCTACACCTTTTTTAAAATGTGTTAAATACATTTCAGCCATTTTACTATCACCTATCAAATGATAGATTGAAGCATTTACAGCATTTATTCCAGCATCTCCACAAAGAAATTTACCATTACTCTTTGGATAAAATATGTCTCCTTTTAATTGCAAGACTGTAATTGCTTTATTTAAAAATATTTCTGATTCATTTTTAAATTTGTCAGATGTAGCTAAGTGGTAAAACATATATGCAATACCACTAGTTCCTATGTACAATATTTGTTCATCAGATGATGAAGCATTGATACTAATGGATTCTACCAAGTAGTTTATTTTACCTTTCCAAAATGCATCAGAACAGTTTGAAAGAATGTCTCCATTGTCAGAAAGTACATTTTTAAAATAGCGTTTTGGCATTTTTTTTGTATATTGTTTTCACTTAATACTCGATACAATTTAAATTATTATTTTACAAATACAATTAGATTTTCATTGTTGTTATAAAAATCTAATTTATAACATAAAACTTATATTTATAAAAGTTATACAGTCCGATACACTTAAAACACAAATTCAGTATAAAATCGATTAAAAATATATTTGAATGTTAAAATATTCAATTACATCTAGTTATTAAACCTATAATAACCAATTATAGCTTTATACTTCTACTAAGTATTGAAGTATTTTAACATGAACACAATAGTAAACAATAAAGAATTTATTTTTGATAACAATTATAGTGCATGATCTGTGATAATAAATTCCACTTTTTATATAGATCAACTTATATGATGAATACTAGAGTACTCTGTTATTCATGTCTTGTAAATATCTCTACATTACTGTTCTAAATTGTAGATTTTTTTTAAATTGATCTTGATCTGTTTCGACTGACTCTTATGATTTTATGTTATTATTGTGTGGTTTCCATAAGTGTTAAAATTTATCATATTTAATGCAGACATTATTTTAGTTTATCACGCTACACGCCACGCCAATATTTTGAAAATATGGATGTCTTCGAATACGACAGGGTTGCCATATGTCCCGGTTTGGCCAGGACAATACTGATTTTTAGTATGGCGTCCTGGTATTGAAATTATGTATTTCAGGACAGCCATTTATTTTGGGATGAAACTCCAATAATGTTTATTTGTGTTATATGAAACTCTAGACTGAAAACTCATAATATAATAAAAAGTTAAACAAATGACTAACGAAATCTGTTTTTAGTTATTTTCCTGACTAAGTGACAATTATTTTTGTCGAATCGTTCTTCGGATTTTCGTTTCCACACGATAATTGTAGTTAAGGCTAACGAAGCAATAATCATTTAATATTTTAAATCAAAAGTACCACTATAAATAGTGTAATTAAACATGTTGATTTACAGAAAAAAATAAAAATTACTATAATAAAATGATTCGTTAGTTTGCCAACAATTTCATGTTAGTTAAAATATTGTTTGTACTATCTTTATTGTCTTTTTAAAAATGAACCAAGCAGTGGCGTGGCGTGGCGATGTGGGTATTCGAGAGGCAGCCACCTCTCAGTTTTTTTTGGGGAGAGGGTTGGTTGGGTATCGACAAAATATATTTGCCTCTGAAAATTTTTGAGTTCGCCACTCCACTGACATACAGTATTATAAAATTGTTAGTTAAGTTATATTTAACATCTAGGTAAACTTATTACTCATTAAATAAGTAATTACAATAAATATACAATTAGGTAGTGTCTTCGTAATGGTATCTACAATCCAGAGAAAGAGTAGTTTGAGCATTTTTAAACATATTTTGATGAACTAAGAATAATTTCTAAAATTTATTTGAATTGTAATTTATGCAATAAAATATTTCGTTATTAAATACAAAAAGATATATTTTCAAAATCTGATCATAATTTAAAATTGTTCGTTTAAACGCTCAATCAGTCTAAAAAAAAAAAAACATGAAATACCACATCTAAAAATAAAATTATAGTACCTATAGTAGAATAATAAAAAGCACAACAGACATGTATGGTGTATTATATATAATCTATCTTCATATATTTGCTATTTAGTAATTTTTAAAAAGGACTAAAAGAATAATTCTTTAAGTTTTACAAAAACAACTCCTCTAAAAGTTCCTAATTATATAATAAAAAAATGTAAATAAAATATATAAATTGACTATACTAAATCGGCATCTTGATGATTGAACAAATACTTTTCCAAAGACTACTGAGTCTGGATTTCATTATAAATTAATATTTTAACGTGGAATCATAACGATTTATCTATATAAATATATATATATTTAATGTTAATAATAAAGGACTACGAAACACATATTCATATTAATAATTTTGAAAAGAATATTATTATTTTTATTGTATATTTATTTGAATTTTATTTTTGAAGTTCAAAAGATTTATTTTTAATAATTTTTGAAATGTTGCTGTTAATAACTTATAATGTTATAGTTGTACTAATACTATTTAGTTATTTCAAATATGTTATGTATTATATTTAAATTACAAGTATGGCGATGAAGCATTCGCCTGTTTCCGGGTAGATGGAATTTTATTTATACCTATAGGTATTGGGACGGTTAGGAACAGGTAGTACATATATTTACCTAACATTTTACTAAACAAAATATATGAGACAAAATATTTCTAATATAAAACCCATTTAATATAGGATATATTGTAAATACTCTTCCAGTTTGACAATAATCATGCATACATTATTCATATTTTCATTGACGTAGCTTGATAAACACGTTAAAAAAATTATCCATATTATTATGAAGATTACTTATGTTAACTCGATTTTGTTCTAGAATCGTATCGATGAGACTGCAAGATAACTACAAAAAGAGCCTGAAAAACACTCCTAACATTACACACTATTTTTGCTATTTGCTGCACACTAAAGAAGATATATAATATAATAATTAAGGAATCTTTTATTATCAAGGTAAACATATAGATCACATATAACATAGCAACATTGCACACTAAGAACTGCTGCTGATCACTATAATGCAATATTTATATGACCAGGAGTATTTTAGTATATCTATGTAACTATCATATTCAAGTTAATTTTAGGTGATTAATAATTTTATTAGGTGATTGAACTATAAGGTTTTTGCTGTAAAAAATATTGAAATCTTGTGTCGAAAATGCAGGAGCCAATTGATCCAAACGTGTATAGAAGTCTCCCTGAAAAGGTTTGTGCATATAAATTACATTAAGTATAAGCTATAATTTCATTCGGATAATGAGTATAATAAAATAAACTGCAATTATTTAGTATTCGACATTTTTTTTTACTCTATTAGGTATATTGCACATTTCAAAATATGTTTTTTAATGTCCATCATTAATCGGGGAAATTTGTGATTCTGAAGAATTTATTAATTTATATTTCAAATTTAGATTATTTACATATCTACCGATTAAACAGAATTTTTAGTATTAAAATATTTTATAAATTTTTATCGCAATATAATATATTTGATAGCTGTTACATCATTCACAAATAATTATATTGTAATATATATTATACATTTGAACAAATATTTTTTTGTATACTTATTATTTACGAGACGTAGAAGAATATTTCAATATTTAGAGTTAAGTAAATAAAAAAGTTTTATAACTTCTGGGTCAACGAATGTCATTAATTTCATCAAATTTGAAAAATGTTGGTTCTTATGATTTTCATATACTGATAGCTAGGGCTCGAAAGTTGATGACCTTAAAAACATTAGAAAATTACAAATATTTATTTTAAATTAATAAAAATACATATTTTAAATATTTTACTCTATTTTATTGTAATATTCTATATAAATTTATCAAAACTTACAAATTACTCAAAATATGACAGAAAAATGACAAACAACGCCTTAAATTATGAAATTAAAAAATTACTAATATTGTTTTATAAATATATCAAATTACTTCAAAAGCAAAATAATTGCATCGTACAATTAGAGCGTATTTGATGTTATCAAGAGTTAATGAACGATAATTATTTGTTTATAATTATGTATATTTGGAAAAACTTCAATCCACGTCCAATAAAGTGATTGGGAGATACAGATAAACACTAAAGGTGTGATTCCTATGGACACGCCTAGAGACGCGCAGCCGATGCGGCGCTATTTAATTTTAACCGCGCAAGTACTACTTTACTTGTTTTTAAATATAAACGATTCCTATGACCTTTGAGAGCAGTCAAATCGCACGAGCCGCTAATAGCTCATATATAATTTATTGTTCATATTTTAATTTTCGAAGTTCGAAATGTTGTGAATACCGTGTGACACAAAATGTCTTTTAAAGTATCATTAAATTGCAGTGGCGTAGCGTGGGTATCGGCTGCCCGGGACGGAAGACAATTTTGCCGCCTTCTTAATTAGGTATTTAAATTTAATGTATACTATACATTACATACATTAATTCTAGAGAACTTTTCGGCAAAAACAGTAATCATTATTTTGAATTATACAGGTTAAATTTTAAATAAAAAAGTTTATTTGTTTTACAATCACGTTTATTAATACAAAAATGTTTCAACCATTGATATAACAGGTACAAAGGCATAGGCGCAATTAAAGGAGGGGTGGCTAAAATGATTAGCCCTTCCCATAAAAATTCCATGATATACATGGCATATTGCATACAGCATACTTAACTCACAATAGTGCCACATACAAAAAGACACATTACAGTAAATCCAACTAAAATACCTGTATTAACATGGTTTATAAGAGTAGGGGTGATCTACAGATTATTTTAAGTTTTGATAGGAGAGCTCTGTAGCCCTACCAGATATTTTATCTTAGTTGCGCCTATGTACAAAGATATTATTTAATCATGCGATCGTCAAGGTGAACACTAATTTTAAGTAGGTAATAGAACCTACTTATTGATACTTATACTTATTATAAGTATCTTATTCCGCCCAAATTTCTTTTATTCTTTTCATTTTTGATACTAAAATAAAAAAAAATTGTAATGATAAAAGTTAGAATTACAAAAGAAACTATCGAACAATTCAAAAACTAGGTATATTTTACACCACACCTATCTATAGGCAAAAATCTGAAAACCGTAAATATTTGTTCGGAACCCTGGGTATGCGAGTGTAAAACTCATATAGGGTCGTATTTTAATAAATTAAAGCTTGAACAACATATCAGACAGTCTAACAAACAATTACATAAATAAAACATTTAATACTTACACATGTGTGATGATGATAACTGCTGTTGAATATAGTTAAACTTAGTAGAAAATTCAAATTTTCATAAAGTTATCCAATAATTTCATAACCACTAAACGCACTTATTTGCATAAAAATCACAGTAACGAATCAGTGTGAACTAAACAACTGAAGATCCATGAATAAAACTTTCTTTGAATTTTCAAATCATCACGTACTTTCTTAAAGGGACGTAATAAACAATATTGAACGTAATATATATGTAATAGAATTCATTCTCGTTGATTATAAGTCATAAACAATCCAAGCAAAAAATACCATTCAAAGAATGGGAATTCACGAATTCGTCACAGAATAAGTAATGAAAAATTCCGTGCTCTTTTCATTTGACCAGAATTTATAGTTGCGTTAAAAATATGAAATGGTTCAAATATTTACAAAATATATTCTATTATTTACTGTGAAATTTAGCCGCCCTCTAAAAAGTGCTGCCCGAAGCGGGCCCCCTGCCTCCCATCATTACACGACTGTAAAATTGATCCCAGCTTAATTTGAAAAATTCTCTGAATTTGGTTTCGTCTCGCTATAAATATTTTTCAATCAGGACACCAAAAATTCCTTCAGCTTCCCAGGCTAAGTAAATTTCATGCACTTCCTTTTTATTTTTTGACAGAACATATTTTTTGATGGCTTGTTCTTCTTCTACTCGTTGAAAAAAAAGTACGAGGCGTGTCCCAAAAGTAAGGTCTCCATGCTCCTAGAGCCAGAAATAAATTAATTTTTCAAAATTTGGTAATACTGTTGTATAGTGTCGGTCGTACCCTTTACAAACGAGAGGCGGCTCAACTAGATCCGATGTTTAGTTTGCGTCTGACACGCGTTTAAGATGGACATTTCTATGTCGACTGCCGCCACCTCTATTCCCGTGTATGCTCAATGCGAACTTCGCGCTGTAATTCGTTTTTTGCATTCAACGGGTGAAACACCAATATCCATTAATCGAAAACTTTGTCAAACATATGGTACGGGTTGCATGTCTTTAAAAAATGTTAGAAAGTGGTGTAGAGAATTTTCAGGAGGTCGGACGGAAATTCATGATGAACAAAGAAGTGGGAGACTTTCGATTTCAGACGAGTTGAAAGAACAAATTGAAAGAGAGCTTCGTTAAGATCGACAAGTGACGGTTCGAGATCTTGAACAAAGATTTGAGTTGTCAAAAAGCACTATTTTTTAATGATATAGGCTATCACAAATGTTGTGCTCGGTGGGTGCCTAAAATGTTGACCGAAGACCATAAGCGCCAACGCATTGAGACTTCTCGAGAATTTTTGTCACGTTATGCCGAACAAGGAGAGGTTTTTTCAGACTCCATAGTAACGGGTGATGAAACATGGGTTTACCATTTCACCTCTGAGTCTAAACAACAGTCACTGGAGTGGAGACATTCTCGCTCACCGAAAAAAAGGAAGTTTAAAGTAACGCAGTCTGCTCGAAAAATCATGGCTACTTTTTTTTGGGACAGGAAAGGAGTTCTTTTAATTGAGTTTATGCCAACTGGGACAACCATTAATGCAGCTTCGTATTGTGAAATTTTGAAAAAACTTCGCAGAGCCATCCAAAATCGAAGACGAGGGATGCTGACAAAGGGGGTTTGTCTTTTGCATGACAATGCCAGGCCCCACGTTGCCCGTGACACAAAAGCTCTCTTGGAGAAGTTTGGTTGGGATGTGATCTCCCATCCCCCTTATAGCCCAGATCTTGCCCCGTCCGACTATCATTTGTTCTTGAACTCAAAGAAACATTTGGGAGGAAAACGGCTAAGCTGATACACATTTTTTATCATACTAATATTAGTAGTTTTATAGACATAAATTGTATATACCTACCTATTAATTTTATAATTTTATAATGCAATTGACAATTTGTGAAATAGCTAAAAAAAATGTATCGGTCTGCAAGCGTAGCGAGCAGCTTTGTAAAGCATGTTTTGTCAAAAGAGCCCATATAAAATTTCAGCCCTGGGGCCCAATAGGTGCTTAATCTGACCTTGATTAAGGACATGGTTAAACTAATAATAATAATATTTTAAAACACATTTAGATGCATATAACAGGACCAAACAGAGGACTTTATACAACTGCATGTGCGTGCCTAATTATTTTTGTCCCGTAATGTTAGCCGTGCGTCTTCTGACGCGTACATAGGAATCAATATTAGATCGCGCGGCCAAAATTCAAATTGCGTCGCGTCGGCCGCGAGTCTTTAGACGCGCGCATAGGAATCCACCGATGTTTTAATTTTCGTAATTTCGAAAATATTTCGAAAAAAATAATAAAATTTAGATTTAATAGGTATTATTATTATTATTATTATTATTATTATTATTCACTATAACATGACGATGCGACGACTGTAATCGATGAGATAAAATCGGACAAACAGTGGCGCATTTAATATATACGCGTCCTGGGACAAAATAAATTTTTCCACCCTTTCCCTTTACCAAAAATATATATATATATATATATATGTATATGTAAATAAATTCAAAGCTAAGCAATAAAAAAATTAATTTTATGAAACAAATTATAAATCAGTTGTTTTACGATATTGTATTAGATAATTTCATAGTAATAAATATCCTAAAGTTAACCTATTTTTTTTTTCAAAGTGAATTTTCTTTTCTTAAAAAAAATATATACCTATATATTTTTACCTATATATTACCTATATATATATTAAATATAGAAAACGGAATTAACACTTATTATATGCACGATGATTAACAATACATGGTTTTTTATTAGATTATATATATTATATTTATTATTAATTATATTTAATAAAATAATCGATAGCTTATAATTTTTTTTTTGACTTTTGAGAAGAAAAATGTTCAATAACATCATTAAAATTAATAATTTTCGTTAAATCAGCTTAAATGTTGAGGGTTGTTAATTAATTAAGACGATTTTCTCTCGTTGTTGATCTTAAATAAGTTTTGACCCTTTTTAATGTAGAAAATGATTTTTCCGTTGTACAATTACTTGAAGGTGTACATACATAGTAGCATCCTTAGAGCAATATCAATATAAGGATATACTTCAACTAAACTATTCTCTTTTATAAATACTAACATACATTGAACACTTTTAGGTACAATTTTACTCCTTTGTAAACTTTTTAAATGTGTCCTAAAGTTATTGCCATGTTCTGTATACCCGAGTTTTTATTATAAACATTGAACGAAAATATAATATTTTATCGAATAATAAATGTAATATACCAATTTTGCTATTTCACTATTACCTAGGTGACTAGGTATAGTATAATTTTTTTAATTGCTTATTAGATGCACAACAATATTTTTTGAAATACTAAACAATTTCGAAAAAGGTGTGAAAATTAAAAAAATCATGAACACATCAATAATAAAAATTAGAATATTTAGCCGCTCCCAAAAATTTGCCGCCCGGGGCATTTGCCCCTTTCGCCCCCCCTTAAATGCACCACTTTGGACAAGTCTTAAGTTATCGGCATAATGGTCGACAAAAAACGATAAGAAGTGAACTAGTATTCAGTGAAATCAGTAAAATGTCTAAAAATGTAAAAAAATTACTAATAAGTAATAAAAACCAAAAAATGCAAAATAAAAATTAGTTATTCGGATTCACATGCTAATGAAACACATTTGTAGCCAGGATAGCATTGTCTAAAAAGTTCAAAAAAAAAAAAAAAAATGCAAAGTGCATAAACTTTCGAGCCCTACTGATAATGTTATCAGTATGTACTGACATCCAAAAATGTTCTGTCTTTTTTACTTTCGGATAGGCTGTATATTGATGCCCGGAATAGGCATAGAAAGAATGACGGTTATTGAATAATGGAACATTTACTACACTTATTTACCTTATTTCTTTAACTAATGTTCTATTATAATTTTGTTTATATAAATTACAAATTAATGAAAAATCATGTATAGTAATCACATTATTAAGTATTTTCAAATTTGCTGCTACGGTCGACATAAAATCTAAAATTTTTTTTGGTAATTTGATACCATTCAAAATATTACAATCTTCAATAAATATTCCAAAACTTAATAATTATGTAATTGTTTACTTTCAGTATGTTAATGTTCATCAAGAGAAGATCATCTTAAAATATTTCAAGAAGCGAAAGGCCCAGCATTTTAATATAAAAAACAATGATTTGGTCAATCTTATTTCTCAAGATAGTGGTTTGGATAAACACATTGTTCAAAATACTATATCTAAGTATCTACGATCCAAAAATATGTTGCTGCCCAAAAAAATAAAAGAAATAAAATCTATGGCTAAAAATGTTGATAATTTAAAGAAAAGTGCTATCAGAAAAAAAATTCACAGTATGTGGTTGGCTGGTAAAATTCCAACAATTGAAAAAATTATAACAGCAGTTAACATTGATTCAAATTTACCGAGATTCAATCGACCTACCATGGATAAAATCCTAAAAGAATTAAAATTTGATTTTGTTCCTATGTCAGGTATGTTTGCTCTCATCGAAAATGATGAAATTGTTCGTCGGAGGCGACATTACTTAGAAGCTCTTAAGAAGTATCGAAATGAAGGACGGCCTATTTATTTTTTGGGCGATACATTGATTGAAACTAACGATAGCAATGATAACACACAGAAAAATGAAAAACATTATTCTTGTCCACATACTTCAAAAGTTCAAAGTGAGATAAGAAAGAAATTCATTATTTTACACGTTGGATCAATAGATGGATTTGTCCAAGGTGGTTTATTAGGCATTGAGTCAAATAAAAATTCCTACGATTATCATGACGATATCAGTAGTGATACTTTCATGAATTGGATTAAAAAAGTGTTGCCATTATTGAAAGAAAATGCTGTTATTGTAATGAACCACACTTCTTATAACTCGGTTCATAAAGTTGAATATCCAGACAAAACTTGGACAAATTATAAAATTATTGAATGGTTGTTGTCTAAAGGACAAATCGTTAACAATGATATGATTAAAGTCCAGTTAATAGACCTTGTAAAACAAGTTAAATCGAAAACCGGCCCATATCTGATTGATGCGATTGCAAATGAAAATAATAAAGTAGTTCTTAGAATTCCAACCTATCACTCCGAACTAAACGCAATTGAGATGGCATGGAATAAAGTGAAATATCATGTGAATACTAACAGTGTTCCTGCTTCCAAAATAATAGATATTGAAAAACTTATCATTGAAGGGATAGATTTGGTTACACCTGAAGAATGGTTAAATATTATTGAATATACAGTAGTAAAAGAAGAAGCAGACTGTTGGAACGTGGATTTAAGCGTAAATTTATTTTGTGATACTCACAGTACAACTATTACGGATAAAGAGAAAACAATACCGTCTAATGATGAAATAGAGTTAATTGTATCTAGGCTCCAATCATCATGGTAATTATTTTTAACTATTTTTAATTTTATTTAATAGATGATTTATTACTTTCTAGTAGGATTACGAAATACATGTACTAAAAACTACCAAAATATGCGCTTATAATTACTTATGAATGTATTTAATTTTTTTTTTTTACTTTTCAAAAATGAATTGTATAACAAGACTTAAAAAATAATGAATAATCTTCGTACATAGAAGAAGAACATTAAAATGTATTAGTTAAGAAGTGTAGTACAATTAATAGAAATAAAAAAGAGTTTGTAAAAAAATTGTATACTAGCTGTGTGCCTCCAATCAACAAGACTTTGTAAATTTATGAATTAATTGAGAAATAGCTATGGGGAGGACCAAGGATTGTTAGGAAATAGGCAATAATAGATAAACATTTTTATTGAACTTTTTCAATCAATGAAATCAACTGATAATTATGGGTCCCAAAGAATAGAACCATACTCAACAATTGGACGGAATGGAGAGCAAAAAATAGTTAATAGCGAACAACTTAGCTATTCGAAAGAAATACGATGGATGTATTCAACTATTTTAAAAGTTTTCCAATAGATTTATGAATGTTTATACACATTAACACGGATTCAGCTCATTTGAAAATACTTAAAAATTAACGATAAAAACGTTTAATTTAAATTTAAATCAAAGAGTTATATAAGAACACGAATGACATAAAATTACGACCGAGATTTAAATATGATCTGTTATTTTTTACATTTGATACGTTTCATGTATTATTTTCGTACAAACACATTTTTTAACAAATACATTTTAATGTTTCCAAAGAACAATATTTTTTATGGAATTGTATTTATTTCTGGACAGTTAAAAAATAATTATGAAGTAAAATAAAATATTATTTTAAAGCATTATGTACTCATAAAACCCTTAAAACAGTGATTCCCAACTCAACACAAGGCTCGGACCATTTTACATATTTTTCAATGTCAATGACCACGACTTATTTATTATCACCCTTTCCCCCTATGACACCTATATCGCATGAGAGTCCATAATTATTATGTTAATCGTGTAGGGTTGTAATTCAAATATGTAGTTTATCTATCAATATTTGGTGTATTTGGTTAAGACATGAGCTACCATACTAACCCCCGTGCATCTGAATTGGGTCCGAAGTACTAGGATCTTATCCCAGATACTACACTAGATGAGTCCAGGATTTTTTCAAGTACTACACTAGATGGGTCCGGGATACTTTCGGGTTCTACACTAATTGGGTTCGGGATTATTTTAAGTAAGAAACAAAGTATAATAAGTAAATATACAATCTAAACGAAAAATATTAAAAATTCTCATAATCCACTATTAGCTATTTTAGCTATTATTATTTTGGTATTTTCCTATATGAAATATGTTGGTGCTCAATTATCTATCTAAAGCTGCGTCTACACCTAGCAAACATCTGGGGAAACATTGTTTGTTGAACGTTTGTCAAATATTTGTTGAACAGTTTGTCAAAATAACAATCATTTTATTTGTTCGCTATGTTTGCTCAATTCATTAATCTACAGTTTTGATTATGGCGTTTCGAGAGCAAGTCGCGTGTGTAGGAGCTACATTCATTATTATTCATAAACACTATGAAAATAAAATTAAAGATAGAAATAAAAGACGATGGTGGACAACTACTACAACGCCGAAAACTTATAGTGGTGAGCGTTTCATTTTGGATTAATACGCAAGTGATTTGTTTGATAATTTTTTGGTTTTTTAACCAAACTTCAAAAAGGGGACGATTTTAAATATCAACCCCACTCCCAAGTGTATATTACAAATAATAAATAGTAAATAAACAGTTATTTGTATGAAATCATTTTGTTTCTCCCAAAATTTATGCCATAATGTTCGAATAATTAGCGAACAATTTTGTTTGGGATATTGACAAACAAAATTGTTTGGGAACACGTCTATACCAACCAAACATTCAACAAACATGTTGGTTGGATATTTTGAATGTTTGATGAACGTTTGACCAAACGTTTGTAAATTGTTTGTTAGGTGTGGACGCGACTTTATATATTTTTACCAACATCCATGTGATTTTTTTAATAAACTTTAAAAAAAGATGGACCCAACTAGTGTAGTACCTGTAAAAATCTCGGAATTAACTAGTGTAGCAATTTTTAATTCGGGACCCAACTCGGATACAGCCACTAACCCTATTTTTTATTAATTAGGTTTTTGAATATGTAAGTATGTTTAATGACTCATTCGCCATAAGTTTATACCATAATTTAATTATAGACATTTATTTACGTAAGAATATTTTTATTTGAGTCAAGAAATGTATATTTAAAAACGAATTATTAATTTTCAATTATTAAGAAACATATGATTATTAATTACGACTGATGAGTTTATACACTATTTTACATCATTCCATTGATTTTTGTAAATAAATAAATCATTTCGAATTATTTTGTAATATTTAATCAATTCATTTAACTTATTTATTTAAATTATTTTTACGTTTTTTTAGTAGGTACACAAAGTAAATAAATTACAATAAAGGGACAAAATAATTGGTGTAGTGTAAAAAAAATATGTATAATTAACTGTAAATATTATAATATTATTAAGTATTATAGATTTTAATAATACATATATTAAACAATTAAATTGTATATTTTTTTTATGTTCACAGATTTATTGATTTTGAAAAGTTGATTTGTACCTTTTGACACTAAACACCTAAGAATCTATGTAAAATATTTTTTTTATTCTAATTACTATTTCAACAAGTTTATTTAAGTTAACCTAGTCTAATTACCAATTAATTAAATTAAAAAGTTAGCATTTTATGATAAAACCAATATTATAGCTTTTAAAAAAGAAACTATTTTTGGACAAAAATATATAATTATGAGATATTTCAGTTTAAATTTGTCAAGTTATATTACTGTCCAAAAGTATTAATCTAGTTATGCCGATGCGTGTAGATATCGACAAAATTTGTGTAACCATTCAGGCAGTGTTGTACATTGATAACCAAAATATTATCTAGATAAGATAACGGATAATACATTAAAATTTCATCTAGATAAGATAATAGATAACTATTTAAAAGTTTATATAAATAATAGATAACTACATTTATCTAAATAAAAAACAAATAAAACTAGATAAAAAATTTTTTTTAAAAAATTTCCATTTAGAACTTACATTTGTAAAATGGTTATTTTTCTATGAAGAAAAAAATTAATTATTAATTATGATTTAATTGGTTTAAAATAATCTTAATTAATTTTGCTAATTTAGACAGAAAACAATACATAAACCTATTTTTATTTATCATTACCCAAATTTTTTAAATATAAATATTTTAAGATATTATAAATCAACTATTTTTATTTCTTTTTATTTTATTTTATTAATTAGTTTACAAATCAAATTAATTTATTATAATTTAAATAATGTATAATTAAAAATGTACCTAGTTTTATGATTTTTATGATTTAAACATATACCTAGGTATTTATGGGTTAGAAATTTACATAAAACTTTATATAGATGTATGTAACTTAAGTTTGTTATCTTGTAATATTCAAATTTAATTAAATAGTCAACAGTGATGACTCATTACTTTGTCTTCGATTTATACGCAGTTAAATGCAAATAAATATATAATATATATAAATAATACAATATTTTACAAATTAATTTTATTGGACAAAACACAACAACATTTTAAATGTCTTATCGCCTAAACGGTTCCTACTTGGTGTTAATATTTGACTTCCGCTGCTAGACAAGCGTTCGACAGGTGCAGATGAAGGAAGTTATATTTATGAAATTCAAATTTGATTTAATATATCATAATTTTAAAACTATTCTATATAAATCCATATATTATTTAAGTGTTTATTATTCCTCGTTTCAATTCCCACAAAAAAAATTATCTTTTTCAAAATTATCTAGATAATTTATCTTAGATAACCATTTTATTTAAAAAGACGGATAAAAAATACTTTAACTATTATTATCTAGATAAGATAAAAAGATTAATGTTTTTATCTAGATAAATCATCTAGATAATGCACAACACTACATACAGGCTATTTGGTTTAGAGTGGAAAATTCGAAATTTCAATTATGTCAAATGATTACTTATGTACAGGAAGTTCTGCAGTTTATGCATAAATTTCAAAAACCAACCAAATTCAGGAGAGACTTTCTTTTAACATCAGTGTATTTCCAACAAGGTTCACAATTCACAAAATAAATAAGTTGTTCACCAACAGTATTTAAAAATAATGTAAAATCGTTAGTACTTAAATACTTCCAAACTTTAATTACATTAATACAATTATTTTAATGTTGAAAGCATAGTCTCGTAGTATAATAAATTAAATAGGTGTAAAAAAAAATATAAGCAGATATTATATATATATATATAGATATATATGGGTTACTTGTCAAAATAATACTCATATCTCATCTCCAAAAAAATAACTAAATATATCTAAAATATATTTATCATATTTATCATAATAATCATAATTATATTATAAAAATAATAAGCAATATAAATCTTACTATAAACTTTATTTTTGTTGTGACACTGAAGTAATGTGATTCGAGAGAAATACTGCTAGAAAAATTAAAAACCTATTATATTTTTCCACAATTCTTAAAAGAACATGATTATAATTAGTTCAGTGCTCGAATTGGGAGGGTGCGCAGGGGGACGGAGTTCCTCTACTATTTTTTTTTTTTTTGCGTACCCCAACTATATTTTTTCACCGGAACGGGGGGACGCCACGTTTATCCAAATTGATGTCCAAAATAATTTTTATGTGAATTTCAATTTACGTCAATTGGAAAATTAATTTTACGATTTATAATATCAAAACTATTTTTATAATTAAAGATTATATGGTGGTTATGATAAGGGACAACGTCATCACTTCTGGAAAAATATAAACAGTAATTTCTGTGAATTTGGTGTATTACACTTTATATACTGTACGGTTTGTTATTAATATTGGTGATCAACGATATCGTCATTTCGGAAAAAAATAAATGCCTTCACCACGACCTTAGACTAATCTTTTAAGGCCGTTACCCGCACTAAAGAGTAAAAATAGATAAAAACAAAAACCAAATAAATGATTATATCAATCGATTCATGAGACTGCCTGATCGCCTACAAT